TTTCAATATAAATCACTTAGGAATCACTTACAGTACAGTTCGTTTCATTTGGATAGGACACCTAGCAACTTTTATGGTTAATCGCTCGTAGCGAAGACAAAAATCGTTGAAAGCTAAAATTTTTTTTAAAGTTATAATCTCTGTTCTATTGTGATTCTAAAATGCAGTTACATTTTTTCATTATTGCTTTCCACACTTTTTTATTTGAGCTTTTGCACTGCTGCATGGTTTTTTGCATGCTGAAAATCGTTTCATTTGGATAGGACACTTGTCAGAAATCACTTTTGTACAGTGCGCAGTTTGTTTAAAACGTTTTTTTTCAATCTGATGCTATTATTGATCAAATGGAACTAAAATAGGCCTTGGATCGGCACTCCAGGATAAAGATGGGAAAATTATGGGGGAAAATTGATGCATATTTGGACTCAGGCCTTAATGTGACCCAAATCGCCACGAAAATAAAAAAATCGCGAAATGTTGTACACAATTTATTAACAGATAATGAAAACTATAAAAAAAATTATAAAGGGCTCCAAAAAACAAAGTTAAACGTTCGAGATAAGCGGCTTCTAGTGAAAAAAGGCCTCCAATTTCCCCATGTCCTGCCCCGTTTTGGCTCATTATGAGGCCAACAAGGCGTCTAAAACCCCATTTGGAGGACTTTACACACTTGCTAACACTTGGGGCCGTCAAAAATGGCAAGTTCTCCAAGAATCACAGAGATCCATCGTCAGGCGCGGCACAATTTTGGAAAATACAACTTTAAAACGAATTGGCGCTCAGTAAGCTATTCTTAAAGGCTCCTGCTAAGCTCTATTTTAATATTTTTTAATGTTTGGATTATATTTGAATGGCCCGGATGGGCTCAAATTAAGTTTTTTTCATCGAAAAATATAATCCAAACATTAAAAAATATTAAAATAGAGCTTAGCAGGAGCCTTTAAGAATAGCTTACTGAGCGCCAATTCGTTTTAAAGTTGTATTTTCCAAAATTGTGCCGCGCCTGACGATGGATCTCTGTGATTCTTGGAGAACTTGCCATTTTTGACGGCCCCAAGTGTTAGCAAGTGTGTAAAGTCCGCCAAATGGGGTTTTAGACGCCTTGTTGGCCTCATAATGAGCCAAAACGGGGCAGGACATGGGGAAATTGGAGGCCTTTTTCACTAGAAGCCGCTTATCTCGAACGTTTAACTTTGTTTTTTGGAGCCCTTTATAATTTTTTTTTATAGTTTTCATTATCTGTTAATAAATTGTGTACAACATTTCGCGATTTTTTTTATTTTCGTGGCGATTTGGGTCACATTAAGGCCTGAGTCCAAATATGCATCAATTTTCCCCCATAATTTTCCCATCTTTATCCTGGAGTGCCGATCCAAGGCCTATTTTAGTTCCATTTGATCAATAATAGCATCAGATTGAAAAAAAAAACGTTTTAAACAAACTGCGCACTGTACAAAAGTGATTTCTGACAAGTGTCCTATCCAAATGAAACGATTTTCAGCATGCAAAAAACCATGCAGCAGTGCAAAAGCTCAAATAAAAAAGTGTGGAAAGCAATAATGAAAAAATGTAACTGCATTTTAGAATCACAATAGAACAGAGATTATAACTTTAAAAAAAAATTTTAGCTTTCAACGATTTTTGTCTTCGCTACGAGCGATTAACCATAAAAGTTGCTAGGTGTCCTATCCAAATGAAACGAACTGTATATCTAAAAGTTGACATTGTAATTACTTTACATTCGACCAGTAAATATTAAATTGGCAACTCACAACATCTCACCATTTCAAATTATTTTTTTACGATGAACAGTAATAAGAAGCAAGGTCACAATTTATATACAATTACATATGTGATTCTGCTAACCTAGGCACCTCGTTCTCGTAATTATCATAAGGTGACTTTTACTAAAAGCTGGGCAATAATCAGAAAATTTCCAGATTTTTGAGTACTTATTTTTGTTTTCATTGTGTTTGCTTATCACACAAATAAGTGTTAACTTGTTCAATTGAGTTTTGGCTTACTGTACAGTATTCATTTGGCGCTCCCCTCTGGTAACTAGCAGTAATATTACAAGTGAATTTTATATCCTGATTGGCATTTTAAATATTGTCTTCAAATTTAAATATTAAATATTGTCTTCAATTTTAATACTGAACGGACATCAGTTTCAGTATGACTTCTGAGTTTGACATTGCGGAAATTAAACATAAGCAATCTTAAGAAAATATCAGTAAATCCATTTGAAAAGTGCACCTTCTACCATAAAGCTTTCATCGGTGAAACTATTTAATAGAAAATCTACCTAATTTTGTTAGGTTTTTGAAACAGTTGTTACTGTTATTTTGTATGTTGAAAAAAAATACTTTTTTTTAGAAACATCCCTTTGAATATTTATTGATAATTGAAGTAAGTTCTTAAAACTTTAAGAAAATTTAAATTTTGTTAGACACTTTCATAACTCAAGGTCGCCTTAGTTTACTAGTTTTATGACATTTAATTTGCTGGGGTCAAGATCATTTGGAACGTTTACAATTAAGCCAGATAGGTGTTTTGTTATCAAAGTTGGTACTGCTTTCCGCGTTATCTTATTCGTCTTTATCGAACAAAAAACTGTCAACGTTCTAACTGCTATTTTCAATAGGGACAGGCGTGGCTAGTCTGGTTATTATTATTTTATTATCATTGTTTGATTTCAAGCTGTTTGCGCTTTTTATATTGTTCCTTTTCTGTCCAGACATATCTTATCTTAACTGGGTAAACAGGACTATAAAGCGAGTTTCTTTGAAGCGGAACATATGGCTGACTAAGTTTTTAAGTACTACAAGATATCGATAAGATTACCCCAGATAAGGATTGTTATTACATTTGCTATATTTATCGATTAAAGATAGAGATAGTGCGGAATATTTAAAGAGGGATTTCCTACAGCAAATGGGGAAGTGCTAAAATTTTAACATATAACATAGCTTTAACTTCTTCAAGCTTCAATAAAATTTCAAATTTTCTAATTTGAAAAGTGGAATCATTTGGCCCCTTTTTGACCATCATTGCCCACCTTTTAGAATTTTTCGACCAACCCCCCATTTCGAAGATATGAAAATTCAAAAATTTTCCAAAATCAAACTTTTTTTATTTATTATTTCTATGCAAACTTTTCTCAGTTTTAAAGCTACGGTGCTAAAACTCTACAAAAAACCGTGTTACAACTTGTGACGAAGCGGTCGAGATTGGAAGTTATTTTAGAAAAGGTTCGCAAAAATTAAACAACAATGGAGGAGGCCATTACAATTAAAATTAATATATCTATATATAGGTAACAGCATTATTCATACAATTTTTGTATCTCTCAAGTTTCTGTTTAGAAACTTGTATCTTTTCTTAGAGCTATTTAAACAATTAAATTTTTTGATAACGTGTATTATTTTTATTTTTCCAAAAACTCATACAGAAAGTAGCAAATGACTGAAAAAATACATTATGTCATTGATGAACGTCAAAAACTAAAACGAGACAAAAGTAATGCATATTCACACATATGTGCTCCAAGAAAGGCGAATGTACATAAGTCGGTTTAAAAGCCGACTAGTCTGCCAAAGTCATATAGACGTGAGCTGAGATTAGGCATGTGTGCGGTCGCGTATTCAACTGACTGACTTTCAATGAAATGCTGACCAAACAATACCCCTTCCTCTCCGTCGCTTGGCAGCCTAGTGGCGCAATTAGAATTTATCGCATTTGGTGTCATTACTGTTGTCAAGCTGTGGATTTTCCCCGCAGCGGTTAAAATATACAAGCAGCTTTCGTTGTTACACATATAAGTATTGCTTTTAAGTGTAATAGGCTGTATACTCGTTGATTAAAAACAGACTTAAAAATATATAATACATAAATACATTTTACCCTGTTGATGCCGCATACAAATAAATGTGTTATACTTTGGGGTTCAAAAAACCAAACCTAACTCGGTCGACATCTGCAGGTTTGCATTTCCAGAGCGGTAAAATTGAATCGAAACTATTAGTTTATAATAATATATGTAATAATAATAATTCTACATTAATTATAAATAAATATGAAAGTTAAAGTTAATTCCCGAGATTAACATATAAATTCCACAGACTAGATTTACATTGAAAATTTTTTTTCAATCGAAAACAACCCAGAATTCTAAATCCGCCGCTGGCACCAGCACTTGTTTATACCATACCTTTACGATGACTTTGTTTTGCAATGAATTCATATATCTAAATTGGTATGCCGTCACTCTAATGGTTTTCCAATAATTTAGGAAAATTCCAGAAAACAGCGCTGCGAACTCTCGCAGTAAATTCACTGCCCATCAATTTTAACGGCAAATTATGAGAAAGAAAAAAATTTAAATATCAAATATTGTTCTGCTGACTTGATGCACATGGCAGAGGGACAGACTGACATACCTTGGATGCGTATGTTGATGAAAATTATACACTTTGTAGGGTTGGGGGTGATTAACTGAAATTATAATACCATTGGCTATAGGAAAAAAAGATGTTCTCGAGCCTATTTGAAGTTAGTCAATAAAATAATTTATAAAAAAACCCATTTGGGAAAACCACACGAGTATGTACATATATACATATATATATACAGTACTTGAAAGATTAACAAATATTGTAATCAGATTCTATCTGAATCACCTATCTTAGTTCACCTCGAAATAATTTTTTTAAGCGTGCCTTTTATTGAGTGGTGCGTGAATATTGTTTTTGTGTAATTGTTAATAAGCAGACACCTTATCCGCTGAAAAAAATAATTGCCTGGTAACCTAAAACATAATTTGCAATCTGTATTTTCGATTTACCCTTGTTGTTAAAACTTCAATTCAAATTTATTGTTTCATACATGCGAGAGTTTTTACTCAAAGCAACTTCAGACTGATTTTGATACATTTCACACCACACAAATTCATTTAACTAAACAAACAGTTTTGTGACTTTTTGGATTTCTTCTGCTTGCAGCTGGAGGTGTGAGATACCACCGGATGCAGCACTCTAACCACGATCTTCTGCACCGAGACGTTTCCTTAATCTTGAAGATGGCAGGCAAATAACAACCATATGATATAGGTTGGGTTAAACAACGGATAACAACAGAGCAAAAGCTGATAGACCTATCAAAGACAAAAGAAGGGGTCAACATTTAAAAAACCTAAAATACACGTTTAGAGGAATAACTAATTAACTCTGCGGTAGGACGGCCGAAAAACACAGCTTGTTGGTCAGAAATTGATGACACTTCTCGGGCCAAGCGCCCCTGGCATGGCCTTTATGATGAAAAAGAAGAAGTACAAGTTCAATGTTGAAGTGCAGCTGCAGGATTTAGTCGAGGTGGCCCTGGTCAACGAGGTGCTTTTTGCCAAGATACGACTGCTCGATGGAGGATCGTTTCAGGAGTACAGTAGTCGGTAAGATCCAATAAGAACATCTAAGCCCGTTGAACGGTAACGACTATCCTATTTTGACCTAGTGAGGAAGTGCGCAACCACCGCGTGGAGTGGAACCGCAGCTTTGAGTTTCCCTGCAAGATGAGCGCGAATGCCTCTACCGGAGTTTTGGACCCCTGCCACCTGCGTGTTTCGATTCGCAAGGAAATGAAGGGCGGTCGAAGTTACTATAAGCTTGGTTTTATCGATCTAAATCTTGCCGAATTCGCCGGCGCCGGCCTCACCTCGCGTCGATTCCTCCTGGAAGGCTACGATTCGAGGCATCGCCTGGATAACTCAATGCTGCGAGTAAGCATCAAGATGCATATGCTGAGTGGCGATATCCTCTTCAAGGCGTAAGTAACCTACGGCGGACCCTTCTTTGATTGAACATTAATTAACAAACTGCCTTCGCAGACCCACGCCCAACCTGAAGAGCAAGCAGATCAAGCCCTCTATGGATGACTTGAGTAATGCAGCCACTGGAGTGGGCTTGCAAACCCCGACGGCCACCGCTCTTCCCAGCATGGGCAGCGGGAGCGGTGGCTCGGCTATTCCCTTGGGCGGTTGTGGCGCCGTTTTGGGCGGCGTTCCCAGCACTCAGTCGCTGCCAGGAACGCGACCCGTCTCCACCACAAAGGAAGATGGTGAGTAACGTTTGCATTTTCCGGTACCGGAAAAGTGCAGCATTGGTCTGTCAGGAAGCGTTCTTTAAAGAAGCTTATCAATACCGAGCGGTGATAACCGATGACAAGATTACATTGCTTGTATTTCGTTCTTGACCTTAGTACACATTATCAAAACTCGTAAAATATTAATAAACCTGCATTTTCACCACAGCATTGCTTGCAGATATTGATAGTCAGGCTTTGATAGCTGCTATTGTAACGGACTCAGGGTTGTCGGAGTCCTCGGAGTCGGCTGTGACCTTGACCACGGATAATCTTCAGCAACATGCTGTCGCCGCTGCTCCTAGCGCCATAACTCCTGTGACCCAGGCGCTCCCGGGACCGGGTGTCATTGGCAGCAACAACTACGGAACGATGGGAATGGGAATCGCGTTTTCTGGAGGCGCCAACGCCACACTCATTGAAATGGGGCATTCAAGGAATTCCAGTAATACTAGTCAAGTAAATGCAGAGAAAAACACTTCGCTTGGTCAAAACCTAAAGTTTTTCCTCTTCTCTTAATTCAGATGTCAAAAGGTTCGGGATATAGTAGCTTTTCGCACAGTCAACATTCAAGGCAGAGTTCTGAGGGTGATTCGGGACATGCTAGGTAAGTAACCAACCGTCATCAGAATAGTTGTTATTTTGTACACAGCCTTGTCTTATTTTCTTGTACAATTAGTTATGGCAAATTTTGCCCAAGATTAGTGTAAGCAATACCCAAAATAAACATAATTTGCTATACTATAATGCTAAAATCTTTAAATGCGGCATCTACTCGTATGCTAAAGCCTTTCTTACCATTGTTATTAAATTGTGTCTAACGCAAAAACACTTAACCAAATTAACACCACGCGAGAAGTCTGCTCTGACTTAAATAATGCAACCATCGCTCGTTTTTAAGTACACTAAACTACAAGACTGAAATACTTATACACTCTCAAACACTTTTATTACTTTGTAACTTATAACACTCTTTTTCGTCGCTTATTTTGATTTCAATTTTATCATTTATAGAAACAAAATAAAATATATTTATGTATACTGTTGTTTTTAACACATTTTTAAGTGTTTACCCTTGCAGAAGTAATTTTATTCGTAATAAAGTGGGTGGGACCGTTTGGACAAGTCCTTATCGTCAAGTCTGTTTTAAGTTCAGCCTAAAAACTATCTGTGTGAACTAGTCTTTTCGAATATTATAATTATATTGTGTCAACAATCAGATAAAATTAGCTAACGTTGGTTTGTTTTGCAAGTAAATGCGACTAATGTTTTATTTGTGAACTGTTTTTGAGTCAACCAATAAATGAAAACAGATTAATACATACATTCGAGGCTTGACATTAATCTTTTCTCATTATGTAAGAACAATGAAGTAAACGGTCTCTTATATATAAATCATATTCCTTACATTTGCAAGGGTACTTACACTTCGGCTGGTCGAAGCTAACCATTCTTTTGTTCTTCGTAAAATCCTAAATATTTTTTATAACCATGTAAACATTACTTATTTAGATATTGTTTTTATGAACACCGAACAGTTTAACTAAGAACATAAGCTTTACAACTTTAAACTTAAGCTCGAAATGACTTGAAATTATATATTTAAAAACCAAGAAAACATCGGGTAGGAAACCAGCCAAGATTTTCAAATATTTTATTTTATACGTAGCTCTTTATTTAATGTCTTACTTTGATCCTTTAAAAAACGCTTTCAAAGATTGATTTCTTAAATTAAAAATCTTAGTTGTCACGTTAGGGGTTTTAGTTATCATGCTGATCCTATTCTTGCTTTTTAAGGAAAGGAAGGGGTGGAACATTTTAAGAGGCGGCAGTGAACTTTGGTTTAAACCTAGAGAACTATACATCTGAAGATATCAACCGAGTGGTGTTGTAGAGCATGAGCTATTCTATGTTCTTTCGTTTTAAACCTTATTCGGACCTTTGGCTTTTGTTCATTGTTCATTTATAACCTTGGGATGTTTGGAGCTCAGGACTAAATTTGGCTGATGTCTTGGTCAATGCAATATTTAAATATGGATTTATATTGAAACTTTTTCTTGAACTGTTTTAGTCTGGTTAAGGTTATCTGAGTACTCATAATTAATAGCTTCTATTTTTATTTGTTTTTGTACTACGGTTTTAGGGTATCTTTTATATTTTATGTTTATTTAACTAATATAAACTGTATCTTAAACTAATTTATCGCTAAATTTGTTTTAATCAATTTTGTTTTTCTTTCTTTTTTAACTTTAAATTATATTTGTGTGTAACAATGGGGTGTATGGCCAACTAACCAACTTCCAAAAAATTCTTCAATAACACCATTTGTATTCGAATTCAATAAACGACTGCCTGCCTTGAAAACCAATACCAACAAACTACAGTCGTTTTAGAAAATCCGTTTCTCTACTTAATAGACTCAATCAAAAAGCAATTAATGCCATGAAACTGAATATACCGCACGGTCGCCATCACGGGCAAAAGGGTTCAGAGCAGCAGCTACCCCACACCTCCCCAGTGGTTCCCAAAACCCATCAAGTCCAAGCCCACCTTAGTCTCAGCACCACCATTGAGTATGTCAGCGAGGAGCAGCTCTTCCAGACGCCTAACGCAACGATGGGCACTGCTGAGACGTTGGCGTTCGAGGATTTTCGCACACCGATGGCAGAGTTCTCCGCCCCCTTGTTCCGTCCATTGGGGGCGGGAGGTAGTGCTACTCCCTCCTCCACGACTCGCAGTGCAGCAGATTCTCCGTCCCATGCCACACAGTATTACGACAGCGGAGAGGCGAGCGACGGGGACGAGTGCCTGAACGAGGACTCGGGCGACGAAGACTCCGGCCTCGAGGAAAATTTCCACACGCCAAGGGTGGCCAAGATCAAGTCGATGGAGAACCTCTCCATTCTGGAAATGGAATTTCACAAGGCATCCATGGAGCTGGACCGCAACTCGCCGCGGCGTCTCAAGCAGCTGGCTGAGCACGCGCAGATACCCAAGATGAAGTCGCTGAACAATCTCTGCTTCGACGGTTTCGCAGAGCAAGCGGTGCGTGAAGAGTTCCAGCGCATGCACGAACAGTCGCTGGAGGAGCGAAGGCGCTTCCAGCAACACCACCAACTGCGAAAGAACTCCACTGCATCGAACGGGTCGGCACCGAAGCTGTTCGTAAAGCATCTGAGCCACCAGAGCCACCATCACATCAAGGTCGGCAACGCCAAGTTCATCGGCCAGGAAGGCAGCGAGAGTCCGCCATCGCTCCACTATCCCATTCAGAAAATGCGCTCCATGGGCACCATTCCGGACATTGTGAGCGAGCGCATCGAAGCGGACCCGTTTCTCACCCCTACTACTGAGCGAAAGCCGAATTTCCCCCGTCTCATTCAGTCTGCGGAGAAGCCCTCGCTGGGCAGCAGTTATGTGAATCGCCTGCTAACCTACGACGTGGTGGACTCGCCGGCGGACTCGTTCAGCAGTTCGGTGTCCTTTTTGTCGCGCACGCCCTTTCAACGGGCTTACAGACGCAATATTCACCAGGGAACCTCTTCGACGCCCCTGGCCACTCAGGAACCGTACGTGGTGAGGCCACATTCCACGAATGCTGCCTACGAGCTCATGAGGTGCGTCGCGTTTTAATTACCAAAAAGCCAAGCAAGAATTTCCCACAAGATTCCCCCTTAGTTTCGTATAAAACCTAGCGAGAGGAGGGATACTCGTTACTCGTTGAAAGTTTCTCGTTACTGTTAAATTGTGTTCCTAAATGTTTAGCTTAATTCGCTGCTTCCGCGATCTAGTCCTAGCTTTAGTCTTGGTCTTTGGTATTGGTCCACTACCCCACACTGCCGTTATCGTGTACATTTAACATTTTCACATTTTTTTCGTTTTTGTTTGTGAATATTTTGTTTGGTTTTGTTTTCATTTGTTCAATTCGTACTAATCGTGTGTGGATTTTAAAGGCACTTCCGGTCGAGTACCTTCAAAAAAGTAGATGTAAGATGGTTGTAAAGGATAGCAAAAATTGTACATTAGTCTGTGGAGTGCATTATAACAGGGTAAAGCTCTTCTACTTACATTCTTATTTACCCTAATAAATATTGATGACTTAATCGACCATCCCTAGTTTTGAAACAAGTCTATACTAATTTAACTAATGCCATCTATTTTAGGAGGAAGTTTTAAATTTTAAGACAGCAAGCTCATTGAAAATGATTTTTGTTTTAAAGCTTAAGTAGTTTCCCCACCTAAAGCATCCCAACCAGAAGTTAAACGAAAAAAGAATCGGGGGCTTAAATCAATCTCAGATGCTTGATCAGTCAATCGACTGGAACTTACTCATCCTATTTTAAAGCATATTGGCTGACTTTAGCTACCTATACTTCTTAGACTGAAAAACACTTTTGTACAGGGGTACATATTACATTTTATATATTGCTACGATTCGCGGTAGTACATAAACAGCATACATATTTTTAAAATATTGTTTCATTTTAATTTATATAGATCGGTATTGCATACAATTTGTATAATTATTTACTTGTGGCATTAATAATCATTATACTTTTTGGTTATAACTACTCCCACACTAAATGTTTTTGATCGATTTTAATACGAGAAGCTCAGTTCATATTTAAAGTAGATAACCTGAAATCATTCGCTTCTTCTTAATGGAATAGAAAACAACACTGTTTCTTCTTATTTCCGTTTGTTTTTTCAAAATACGATGACTTCAAATATTTTGAAATTTTGATTTTTTAAACGCGTCTATATAATATTGTTGTGTTGTTCTGTGTCTAAAATAAATATTCGCATTTGACGACGCGACCATTCAGAAGCTTCAGTGGAGTTCCTCGCCGACTCTTCGACGGCAACGGCAGCACCGTGGGCCAAACAAGCGGCGGCATTCCCGGTGCTGCCAGCAGTAGCGCCAGTAGGCAGCAGCAGCAGCAGCCGGGTGGCGCAGCACCCAATTCGAATGTCGTCGGATGCAACTCGTCGCCATGCGGAACCCTGGCCAGTATACACTCAAACCACTCGGCCTCCTCCTCGAACGGCAGCAACAGCAACAGCAGCAGCAGCGGAGCAGTCATTACCTTCCAATGCAATGCAGGAAGTGGCCAGGACACAGTGGACGCACCCACCCAGCAGATGCAGCAGCAGATGACTGTTGGATCGCCCAATGGCCATGGCAGCAGTCCCCGGCTGGGCAACGTCTTGTCGGGCGATGCCCTCAGCTCAATGGCCGCCAGTCCCACGGACGCGTGCAGTATTCGCTCGAATCCTTCGGCGGCCTCACTGCTTCTATCCACGTCGGCAGCTGCCGCGGAGGCCTCCGCATTGGCCTCTGCCACTACCATGTCCGTCTCGGGAGCAACACTTTCGCCGCTGGCCACCACCCAAATCATTCGCCGCCCTAGCATTACAATGATGTGGGTCAACTTCATTAGTTTCTATTTCAAACTTATTTACTTGAGTTCTGTTTGACTTTTTTGTTGTAATGCCAATAACCCAGTATCTAGTTGATAACGATAACCTGCTGAAAAAATTTCGCGTTTAAGTATCAAAGTAGCCGCACAACAAATTGCATCTTTTTATTTTTTTGTGTCTTCCAAAAGTAGTTTCGAACTAGTTTTCTGTCACCAAAAGGTTTTGTAGCATAGCGAAGAATACGAAGTTCTTGTGTTTAATGGCATTTTATTCCATAAAAAGTAAATAATCGTTTTTTTGTTGAGAAATACTTCTTCAATAAAGAACCGAATTGTATAAAAAAATACAAATAAATAAGAATATTTTCTTATAAAAGTCAAGTTTAAGGATTAAAGAAATTAGATTTCTTTTTAACAAACGCCAAACTCGGATCTAGTTCTTATTCATTATTTTATTAGGCATTCATTTGTTTACTTGAGTTTTTTTTATTATATGCTCAGCATTTTATAAAAAGGATACATTGAGTTCTGCTTTAAAAAAATAAAATAAAACTGTCTAAAAACATAAGTGAGCGGAAAAAATGTTTTATCTTTACTTAAAAGCATAAAACAAATAAAGTGCACTTAAGATCCGAGATCTTTTCAGCGGAATGGATAATATTAGTTTCACTAAGTCTTAGGACTTTTAGTTTACATATAGTTTAAGAAATATATTATTTGTTTATTTAATAAAATTTTTGGGTTGTGTCAATTTGCTTCTATTTTCTTTTGTACTTGTGCGTTAAATTGTTAATATCGTTTTTTTTCTAAACCGGGTTTTTCTCCGTTTCGATTTTGATTTTTCGTATCCTGGCAGAAATTGTTTTGTTCCGAAGTTTTTTACGACTCTACAAGCATGCATAGTCTTAACAATATTATAATTCAATATAGCCAAGTTTCTGTCCGGCAATTTCTGTAAGCAAAAGCTATCGATTTTGCTTTAAAACTATTTCCATTTATCATTACCATTTTCTTTTAATTTCACCGAAATGGAACGAATATATTTTAATTGCTACAGGTTATCTGCAAGGATATAAAACTTTGGTTGCCGAAGTTACTTAACTTTAATACTACTATATTATTTATTTTGCCCCATACCGTGTATCACAGCATATTCATTATATAAATTAAAAGTCACATTATTTGAAAGCATGGATTGACCGAAGGGTGTTCCAACCTTGTGCTGTTCTGGCCTCGTTACTGCTTGCCTTTCTGTTGTATTGTTTCTCTCGCGATGCTAAACACGCAAGAATTTATTCATATTGCACTTAGTTATTTTAAAACTTTGTTAAGTTCTTCACTAAAAACAAGAGTTTTAAGATTGTTGACAATTATTTGTATTATGCCTTCTATAGGAATCCCAGTTCCGGTTCGTTAGTTATAAGTGAAACAGGATCTCTGGATCGGACGAAAAGTAGCGCCGAGAAGCGGAAAAAGGGGGCGCTCGATGATGGGCCACGCGTATCCGACCGAGTGGAGGAGACGCGGGTCAATCCAGACTCGTTAATTGATGAGATTTTGAAGGACACCAAGCTGGATCAGCTGGAGGAATCCGCAGAAAGTGAGTAACTCAATACGAACTCATGTCTCACGTCTCGGTGATAATAATTGCTTTTGTTTAGCCTCTGGCCTTCAGCTGTACATCGCTCGTGATGGCACCGCCTCCCTGGGTGGGCACGAGGTCAAGTCGAGCGTCCGGGCCGGAGCCCTAAAACAAGTGGTCATGCAGGATAGAAGATAGTAGTAACCGGGATTCCTAACTGTTTTTAATAATGAATAAGAAGACTTACTGAACAAGTAAAATAAAAGAGGATGTGTAACAAACTAATCGAAATAGTTTAGGTAATGCAAAAATGTTCACTTTCACACTAAAGTGAGAATACAAACACGCTATATATGAGTATATAATTGTATGTCATGTCGAAACTACACTACTATTACTGTCATTGACTAGCTATACGTCTATATGCTTATAAACAAACATGCATAAACAAATGTATGTTGTAGATATGTTGACATGCAACAGATGGGCTTTGCGGCCACAACACGTTCTTTAACAACATGTCTTGGTGTTTTGGCAAGTGTCGTGAAATGGTAAAGCCACGCAATGAATAGGGAAAACCAAAAATTCAATTTGAAAAACTGCACTACATTTGCCTGGAAAATTATTCACAAAGAATAAAATTAAATTAAAAAAAATAATTTTCTCAATATGGTTTTGACATTTGCTTTCCAAAAAGTCCAGCTTCAGGCAGCTTAACATATTCGATACAATAATCAAAACAAAATGCAATTTTAAAGCTAAACGGATGTTTATGCCAAACCTAATACAGTGCTTCGAAATCATGTTTCAGAATTGTAGCAGTCATCGAAATACAGTGCATCAATCAAAATCTATGTTTATAATCAACCTAAATAGTTTCCACCTACCAATACCCATAACTTTGCATTTTGCTTTTGAATAAATACACATAATATTACTATTCACAAAGAAGTTTACTTTACTAGCCTCATACATCGTTGTACATTGGTATTCCTAGTTTGTAGTTAATTTTTAAACTTCCGTGTATTGGGTACGCAAATTGTGAAAAAATGCGTCGAACGCTTCGGCGTTTTAGTGTAAAATAATATTTTTCCGTTATTATTTTGTACTTGAAATCAAGCAACATATTAGGTATGAAAACAGAAAATGCAAACAATTATTAGCTATAGTTTATGTTGATAATGTCTGTGTAAAATTGCTTTAGTTATTTTTGCATAATTTGTATAAAGAGAACTCGAAAATCTTCATTTTTAGTTTCATAAATTGTACATGAAAAAAATTATAAAACAACACATGGTTGATAATTGTCAAATATTTTGCGTTGGTCAAATGATGTTGAATATTGAAGCATGTAAACATATATTGACTTAAAATAAAGTTTTCAAAATTTTTTATGAAATTAAATCTTTGTTTACTTTTAAATCGGCAACATACCTATTCATTACTTTTCTTTTTATTGATAAAATCAACATCAATTGACCAAGTTGACAATTTTTTTGTAAACACTTTTGAGCTGAACCCAAAAAGTTTTAAATACAAAATAGAACAAAATATGTGACAAATACAATTACCAATAAACATTACTGCAGTTAAAAATTAAGGCGTGAATTTCATTTTATTTAAAGCTGATTCTTAACAAAACGGAGGTAAGTTCCATTATGAGCAGCAAGGACAAAGGCCTTGGGGTCGAAACTCATTTCAGGCAAAGTTCTTTCGCAGAGCTCAACCCGAAAGTTTTTAAGGATGTGAAGAAGTCCTACTTTGATCTCCAACTGGCCCAACAGTGTCCCGATGCAGCCTCGTGGACCTGCGCCAAATGGCAAGTACGTCATGGGATGAATCTGTTTTCTTTGCTCGGATGAGAAGCGTTCTGGATCGAAGACTTCGGGATTTGGCCAGAACTAAAGATCTTGCAAGTGTGGAGTAAGGAGAGAAACTTGAAATTTTCTTTACTAACCTGTGCATTCCGATGGAGTCCCAGAACTGATATGTACACCGGAGTGCCTGGAGGAAGTTTGAATGGAGATCCACAGTCCCAAGATGAGAGATCGTACCCCTCACGGGAGTTGCAGCAGCGGTCTAAGAACGCCGTAGGCGGATACAGCCTGAGAACCTCGTCCACCACTTGCCGCAGGTACTCTAGTCCACTGACTGTGTCGCAGCTCAGCGGCTGGTCATGGTTTTGCTGAAGGGTCGCGCGCAGCTCCTCTCGCAATCGATCCTGGACCGCAGTGTTTTTGGCCAGCTCATACAGGGCAAAAGTAATAGTTGACGACGAGGTGTCAAAGCCAGCCAAAAGCAGAAAAGCTGCCTGGGCCACAAAGAAATCCGGGCGATGAACTATGCTTCCTGCGGACTCTGATCGCTTCAACTGCAAGAATATGTCGATCAAATCGTGGCGCTTCTCTCCACTTGCCTCGCGCTGGGAAAGGACGTAGTTCATGGAGTTGCGCATAAATCGCTCATACTCATCTGAGTAGAGATGCGTGCGAACCCTGCGCGACAATCGCGGAAAAAAAAACATTGTGAAGAGGTGCAACAGCCGCTTTGGGCGCGGGTCGTTGACCTCAATGCACATTCGTCTGAACTCCGCCTCGGGATTCTGGAGGCTGTGTGCTTCAATGCCAAAGGCCAGCGATGCAATTATGTCCGTGGTAAAGAGAGCACACAGTTGCTTGACCTCCACCTCCATGCACTCTCTTCCCAGTAGCTTCTCCTCCATGTGAACCTCGAGCTTCTGGCCGATGCTCTCCAGGAGCCCATACATCTGACGCACCTTTCCTACGGCAAAGAACGGTGCAAATATCTTGTGCGTCTCCCGCCAGGTATCATACTTGGAGAAGAACAGGTTCTGGGACCCCATGGTGTCGCACTCGGGGTCCGTGGTCTCGAAGCGACTGGAGAACTGGGAGAAGTCCTCGACCAGTACCCGCTTGATCAGAGCCGGATCCCTGAGCAGCAGCGCATGGTTGTGAAGAACGTGGATTCCCACATAGGCGCGTCCGGTAGCCTCATCACTCTCGTACAGCTCTCGGAACTGATCCCCAAAGCAGCAGGCGCCGCGCAAGAGTTTCCACACATTTCCCACAAACGGCGTTGCCGGAATGCAGGGCACGCCCAATCGTTGCCAGTGCCCGAAGTGGTGGCGTTGCCACAGCCAGACCGTTCCCAATACGAGCAGTACTCCCCCGCTGGCGAAAACGGGGAGCAGAACGAGGAGTCCGCCAGCGGCAGCGGCAGCAGCCACAAAAACTGATGTCATGATTCCCTTCATGGTTGCGCGGGGAGCAACCGACTCAACTGCAGGCGTTGTAAACAGTCACTGTACTAATCCGAGTTGATTGTGAGCCGCTGTCTGCCCGACCCACACAATTGCGTATTTCGAATCAAGCTTGTTGATCATTTTCGTTCTCGTATCGAAAGTTTTGTGACGAGAAAGCTTTTATTTCCGTGTAAGCGCATACGAATTGCTCCTCAATTTTTGCCTTTGGCCCGCTGCAGACCTTGGCTATTTTGCTGCATTTTACGTTTCGACTATTTCCCCCACAACCTTATCTTGTGGAAAATGTTTTAAAAGTTTACGACCTGACAAGGGCCGATAGTACACTGACCAGTTCATGAAATTTATATTCTGTTAATCGGTATCACAAAGCTCGTCGGCAAAGATTTTTTTTACTCAACAATATTGTTGAAATTCTTTCAATTCTATCGCAGGGTTTAAGATGTATCGTTCAGGATACATCATAAATCAGCCATAAAAAATATCGAAGAACCAAACAAGAACAAGAACACATTTTTGGGGAATAGTATTACTTTACATTTCATACACAAATTGGCCGACAAAATCATAATACTGCCGAAGGGCGTATAATTAAAGTTTATATATGTATGATGAAATGCTTAAAGCAAATCAATTAACTTATATGAAATACATTTTTACTTTTATTGTAGATGGAAACATATTTAAAGCAAAACGCAAGCCATATTGAATAAAGGCCCGTTAAAGCAGGAATAACCCTAGCTACCCTTTTGACACTTTCCGAATCATCTTTTTATGTGTCCGCTGATTTACTTATGGTTGTTTTTGGTATACTTTGATGAAATTTAGATTTTTTGCCAATCAAGCAAATTTCGAAAGTAGGCACGACATTGAATAACTATATCCAACTTTATTTTATTTTTGATAGATGTATATATATTTGAGAAGAAATTCTAGTTCAATATAACAACATAAAATGTTTTTTATTTCGAAATAACGAACCATTTTAGCATAAAGCACCCAGAAAATATATGCAGCTTAGGTCAAAACTTGTAAAATCGTCAGTTTATTTTACGCTTAAGTAAAAGATTGTAGGCACTAATTGCTGCTCTGCGTATCTCTCTATTGCCGGCTGCCAATCTCTAGTATAAAAATCTGCCTAATTTGCGATTTGTACAATTAGTGCTGCACAATTTGTTGGAGTTATATGTTAAATAAAGATTGAATTAAATAAATTCATATCACGGACATCAGCATCAACGGTTAGGGGCCATGTAGGTTGGGATGCTGGCCACTAGAAATCTGGAGGGCCTTGGCCACCTCCTCCTGCAACGTGCTTGGTGGATCTGACACAATGTCCGTGTGCATAGATAGGTACTTTAATTTATTCGTAACAGCTGCAAGCAAAGTGATATACTTAATATAAATTCTCAATTTGTTTGAAATAGGGTTTCTTACCGGGTCGCAGATCAATCAAGGAGCAATGCTGATCCACCCACAGGAAGGCGGTGCGACGAAGTTCGTCAAGGCTAGCGCTCGAGACTGTTGATGTGTAGGAGGCAAGTAAAGGCTCCAGAATGAGACCCAACTAAAAAATGAATCAAAATGTAATTAGTCATAATACCACTAGTGATTTGCTTTTCTAAAGTTAATTGCTTAATTAGTCTAATGATGATTTCTTCTATAAATTCTATAATTTTACTTGTCCCTCTTCTTCTTCATGTTTACAAAGGATTTATTTACTCGGCCTTCTACAATAAAGGTAATTTGTAAGGCTGTTCCTTTACTTACAATCCAAAACTTCCAGTCGTTCACCGTATTGTACCGCACATATATCTCGTATAGCTGCCTCACATGCTCCGTGCCCTGCCTGGTTACAGGCGCCCCATTTGCAGGCAGAATGGAGTGAAGGTGCCTGGCCAAAAGAGAGAAGGAGAGTTATTTGCTGAAATATGCACCAGTGCTCGATTTGCCTACGTCAGCGAGTTGTTCAGCTCGTCCCGCTCCATTCGCAGAGCCTCAATCTTGTCCTTCAGCACATTGCGCTCCTGGCGCAGCTGCTTTATGTGGTCCGCTCCCTTCTGCAGCATGGCCGCCTTGCTCAGCTTGGCGTTGGGGTTCTGCTGCAGCTGTGGGATGAGCGCGTGCAGAGTGTCGAACCCGTTCTTTATGTTGTACCGCCGCTTCTGCTCGGCGTGGATGTGGCCGGCCCGCCGCTGTGTGTCCCTAGGCTGATACTTGAGGCTGGCCGTGGGGGAGAGCGGGGAGTCCTGGGACTCGTGGAACGGCGAGTCAGGAGACAAGCTTAGGCTGTTGCTGCCCAGGTTAGCCGTAGTGGGCCCAAAGCTGTGCATCCTGCTTCCTCCTGGCGGGCTGTGCAACGCGGGGTTGATGGCCATGGGCAACGAGGAGGACTTCTTTGGTGAGTGTTGCTGCGTTGGCACCGGAACCGACAGCGGCGTTGTGACGTTGGCGTACAGGGCCGGAGACACGTTGCTGCTGTTGCTAGTGGTGGCTATGGCACTGGCGGCAGACGAGTTTGAGGGCGAACTGTTTGCCACCGCTGTTTGCAGGCGAGAATCTGAAATAGACTATGCTTTGGGGTTACTTTGCAGGTTTATGATTGACCAAGAACTCACTCGAAGTCAGCAACTGGGCCAGGGTGCTGTTAAGCATGGGGTCGCTGGTGGCCTGCTGCGCGGCCACCAGGTTGCTGCAGCTGTGCGAGCCCAACGAGGAGCTTCCCGCTCCAGCGGCAGCCACCACCGACGTGTGCTGCTGGTGCATCGAGTTGCTGCGCACCCGTGACTTGCCCTTGGCGTGGTACTTGGGCACAGCGAAGGGCTGCTCGTGGATGAGCTGTCGGCCGTCGGGCAGCTTGTTCAGCGAGACGTTCAGGGGCAAGCTATTTGAGCGATGGATTTCCTTTGGCAAAACGGTGTTCGGCGACACCCAGGTGGCTGTGCTGACAGTGGGCTGTTGTTGCTGCGGTTGCTGATGGCTTTGCTGCTGTTGCGGCTGCTGCAGCAAACTGGCCACGGTCGATTGGTGCAGTGTCTGCTGTGTGTTGCTGGCCTGCTGCTGGCGCGAAAGCTGCAGAAGTTGCTGAGTGCTCAGACCCAGGGGCAGCGACTGTTGCATCTGCGGGGGCTCCTGCTGCAAATAGCTCAGTTGCTGCTGCTGCTGCGGCAGCCGGGGAACATTGAGAAAGGTTCCCGTCGAGGCGGACTTCTTGAACTGCGGATAGGGCTTGTAGCCAATGGAGTTGTAGCCTCCGTCGTTCAGCAACGACAACACGTCAGCATGCAGGGGCTCGACCTTGACGTTCAGTTGCTGCTGATGCTGCTGCTGCTGCTGCTGCTGGTAGTTGTCTGAGTAACCGCTCATGAAACTTTGGTTGTTGAAGGCGTTCGCCTGCTGAGTCGGAAAATGTTGCTGTTGCGAGAGTTGCTGCTGCTGCTGCTGCGGCTGGTGCTGCTGCTGTTGTTGCTGTTGCTGGGATTGAAAGGAAGCCTGCAACACTACGCCGCCGACAACGTGCTGCTGCTGCTGGTTCTTTTGCTGCTCGGCCAGCATCTGCTGGTAGAGGTTGGTCTGGTGCAGCGTGGGCTGAGCCTTGTCGTAGTTGTGCGGCTCCCGCCGGAACGGCCGTTGAGTGCTTTTAGCCACGCGGCCGTTGATGATGCACCTATTGCTGCTGTTGTCGCCGACGCCGACAGCCCCGAAGTGCTTGCCGCCGTGCATCCTGGCGGGCATCGAGCTGGGGTCCCCGAGCAGTTGAGGATCGGTGGCCGGCTGCTGCACCTGTCTCGCCACCGAGAACCGCTGCTCCACCTCGCTGTACGACATGCTATTGATGGGAGTGTTGAGCTCCAGCATGCTTGCGTCCACATTCCCGGCGCCACCGTTGCTGCTGTTCACCACATCCATTACACTGTCGTTGCAGTAGAGCGTGTGGGGTGCCCCCACAATGGCCGACAGGCAGTACTCGTCGTTCTTGAGCATTTCGGCGTCGGTTCCCTCCTCTGGAACAGGTGGCAAGCGTGTGGTGGATATTAGGTCTGTGGGAAAAGAGTTCCGTTACCACTCAAGCTTCTTTGTGAAAGCGATTACCCACCTGAGAAGGTAATGTCGATGTCATCTAAATTCGGTTGCAACGGCCCCAAACTAGGTTGAATAAAGTCCGCGATGCCAGCGCCACGTGCTAATCATTGGAAGAAGGGTTAGGCATACGCTTCTTCTGTATAACAGGTGTCACCTACCAATTTCTCTGGAATCAGGAAACGGAAATGGAACATTTATAGCCGAGAACAAAGTGTCCGTTGTCCAGTCGTCTGGCATCAAGTTCCTATCGTTAAGCGGCGACCATTCCAGAAAGTCCAACTCGCTTTTCTGCAAGAAGGGTATCACAGGTAGAAGGTTATCGTTTGATTCTCAAAAGGCGATAGTGGTTGATGTTATGCTAGACACTTAAGTTTTGAATGGCTGTCATTCGGTATGGTCATGTGGTCTGCGTGGTACAACGACGGCAGCCATCAGCCTACCTCACAAAAAGGTTATAATACAAAATATACCTAATTTGATTTCCGAAGCTATTAATACAAATGTACCTATAAAGTTTCCCATAACCTTAAACCAATATTTTTTAAACCTCAATAACATAACTTTCTCGTCGACTGGAGATGATTTGTGTTAAGAGAATGCGGGAACGACAATTTCTGCTTTCTGACCCTACCCACCACTAAAAAAATGTAAGTTTTACCAGAGACCCAGCATTAAATGGACCTCATCATGCAAGTTAACTAATCGATTACACCCTAGACTGGTTCCCATCTTTCGCACTATTAAACATTTATCAACGTAATTAAAATCAAAAATCGAGGAACGCATAAATTAATAAATGATAAAGGGGTGACGCCAGGTAATGTTTTTGGATGTGAAATGCAAATAATAATCACAACTAACGAAATTTATTTTTCGCTGATTCTATAGACAAGTTAAAATTTTGGGACGTGACAATCGAAGTTTACTTAGAGTGCATTTCAAAAAAGTTTTTACCACTTAATGGGAATATAAATAATTCAATTTATTCTGCCTAAGTACGAGCCCTTATAAAAGAAAATATCTAGAAGCAATCATCATCAACGCTTAATGCTATGAGTGTTCCCATTGCACCCTACTCGGCAATTAGTTTAATTGAAATATTGACAGTCGTTAGATTGCTGATTTGTCAGTCAGTCGGGCGTTGGAAGTTGACTATTATAAACAGCACATGTACGCAGGATGAATCCGAAGCTCCTGTCCATCCTCCGATACCAACGCTACCTGGGGCTCACGGACCTGGACTTCTTCGATTCGCTGATGCTTTACAGGCTCCACAGCACCTGGCTTTCAATAGCGACTCAGCTTCTGGTCGTTGGGCTTTTCTTGTCAGCTTTAGTTGCCACCCTGGCCGAGTCTCTCTACTACATGGACACCCAGTCCCAGACCGGCAACACCTTCGACAACGCAGTGATGCTGGCCACCGCGGCCAGTCAACTGCTGGCCAACCTATGGTTCCGCTCGCAGCAGGAGGCGCAGGTGGCCCTACTCCAGCGGCTTTCCCAGCTGGCGCGGCGCTTCCAGTTCCAGTTTATGCCTCAAACCCGGTGTCTGGATCGCGTCTGGATGGCCGTGTGCCTCTTCTACGGGGCCATGGTGGCCGGCTTTAGTCCCCATTGGTTGACTGGCATGCAGCTTAGCCACGCAATCACTCTGCTGGGGTTCGCAGCTCGTTGCATTATCGCCAACTTCCAGATCACTTGCTACTGCGGCATGGTGCTAGTCCTGCAGGGACTGCTGCGTGCCCAGGTGGAGCAGCTGGAGGGTCTGCTGTCCAGCGCCTCCATCTCAACGGCAGACCTGGCCGGCTGTTTGAGGGCCCACGATGAGATTCTCCTGCTGGGCCAAGCGGAACTGGTGGCGGTGTACGGCGGAGTGCTGCTCTTTCTTTCCGTCTACCAGGCCATGCAGTGCGTGCTAATATTATACATCAGCAACTTGGAAGGGTTCAAATCGATCAACGAAATGTTTTTCATACTTGGCTGGATGGCTCCGATGGTATTCTACCTCGTCCTTCCCCTAGTCGTTAATGACGTACTTAACCAGGTGAGTTTACGTTAACGCTTGACTAACCATCTTGAAAAATCAACATAGCTTTTGGAGTCCTGTGTCCCGACCAACTAGCACTCCTCGCTTTATAAAGAATGAACCAAACTATGAAAACATGAGATAAAGTTAGATCGCATCGACCCCACATTGGTTGGGAATGTTCCACAGACTGTCCCAAGAAAAATATTAAGGGTATAAATATTTTTCGTTTGCCTCAGCTTCGTGGAAATGTATGGATCCAAAGTTTTCCCCCTGCGGGGTATCAAATCCAAATCTAGCTAATGTCGAGTTACCAGCAATGGTATCAACTGAACCAAGTTCACTTTACCGATAGACAGTGATTCGCGATGGACGACCAACTGGGGGAACTAAGCGCCTACTACCGCCTTTGTCGGTACCTGGGCATATTCTGCATCGACTATATTCCCACCAAAAAGAGATTCTTACTGCGGCGCAGCCTCATCTGCTATGTGGTGCACCTCGCCCTGCAGGCCTACTTGGTAGGCTGCATGGTCGTCATGGTCTTATTCTGGCGAAAATGCTTCAAGAGCGAGCTGACCAAGACCGGCAACCACTTCGACCGGCTGGTGATGGTGATTGCACTGGGTATTCTGGTGGTCCAGAACGCCTGGCTTATTTGGCTGCAGGCCCCGCATCTACGGATCGTCCGGCGCATTGAGCTCTACCGGAGGAAGCACCTAGGCCATGTGCAGCTCTTGCTGCCCAAGCGCCTGCTCTGGCTAATCGTGGTCACGAACCTGATATACGTGGGTAACTTTATCAAGACGTGTGTGCTTGAGTGGCTGTCGGATGCTCCGCGACTCTTTGTTGTAACCTCACTCGGATTCCCCCTGCGATACCTCGTCACCAGTCTCACGATGGGCACCTACTTCTGCATGGTGCACATCCTGCGCCTGGTGCTCAGCTGGAACCAGTCCCAGATCACTGCGATCGTCGATCAGTCCGGAGACCGCAAGAAGGGCAGTGCCCTCTCCCTTCGCTTGCGGGGATGCCTGGAGCTGCACGACCGAGTGGTGCTTCTCTGCAACGACGAGATTAGTCTCGTCTACGGGTTCATCGTGTGGCTGTCGTGGGTGTTCGCCTCGCTGGACGTAACTGGAGTCATTTATCTGACTATGGTCATCCAAAGTGATAGGTCACCCGTTCTTAAGTGTGTGACGAATATTGTCTGGCTTTCTCCGACCCTGATGACCTGTGCGGCTAGTTTTATAAGCAACCGCGTCAGCATACAGGTACGTACAAGGAGAACGTGTCTCTTAAGTGATCCATTCGGGTTTGAATAACATATCTATCAATGGTTTACAGCAATCGTAAAGACCTTAATATATAATAGTATAAAGCAGGGTAATCAATCGGTAACCCTTCCATTTAAAATACATTTCCGTTGGTCCGATTATCCTGCCTTTATGTTTAAGGACAACGTATTTTGAATTCCTTTAATCATTTCCCGATTATCCCATGCTATCTGGCAAAGACACAATGGTATTATTGAAACCGAAAGATAAGATAAGACATCCAATAAATTGTACATCTTTTTCGAACGACATTAATAGTTTCGAAGAGCGCGTGTGAATCAACGGCTGTCACTAGCCTTTTCTGCTGTAGCTGCAATCTGTATCTCAATAACTATTGATTATTCAATAAACTAGCTACGCTATCCCTTGAGCTTCCGTTCGTCAGTTGGTGGTGTTCCGTCATGACTCTCGGTGTCGAGCTGCGGGTGTATTTGCTAACGTTCAAGTTCCTCGGACTGCTCTGCATCACCCACGACTATCACGGTGATTACAGATCGCACTCGTCCAAGAAAGGTGGCATCCTCTCCCTGGTGGCACTGCTAGGCTCTCAGTGTCTGTCCCTTGGGGCGCTGGGTAACGTGATGATGGGGCCTGGAGAGTACATGCTGCCCGTGTACGGCCAAGTGGGAAACACGTACTTTGTGGCCAACTATGGCTTAGCCTGCTTAACCACAAGTCTCATCCACCTGTACTTCTATGTGCGTCGTGACCGACTGATGGCACTGATCTCGTTGTTACTGCAACATAACCGCCAGGACCTCCAGAATCGGCACGCCTCGGAGTTCGCAGGGATCTACGCTGTGTACGCCAGCCAAGTCCTTCTCTGCGGCCTGCTGCAGAGCAAGGCGTTTGGCCACTCCGGAATGGAAGGTTGGAAGGCGGTCCTGCTAACTGCAATCTCCACCTACAGCTTCATGCTGACCGGTCTGGTCGTAGCCTTTCACTACTGCTTGGTACGGATCTCGGCTAGCCTGATCCTCCTCTACAACCAAGACCTTTCAAGAGCAGTCCACACCAGCCAGGAATCAGGCTCCATTTGCGGCCTTCGCCTGCGTCAGCGCAGTCGGCTGCTGTGCGTTTGCAGCCAGCGATTGAGCTCCGACTTCGGCCTTGTGCAGGTGCTTCTGATGGCCTTCCTACTCTTCTCAGCGCCGGCCGCTCCTTTCTTTCTGATCACGATTGTTTTCGAGATCGACGCGAGTCACGCGGGAAGGCAGTACTTGTGGCACGCACTGGCCACCACGCTCCTGTGGAACCTGCCCATCATGGTGGCCATCCTGATGACGCTGCGCACCGACGTAGTGGGCAAAGAGGTGAGCTCAGATGTCTTCTAGACCCCACCGTCAGCTTTTATACTTATTGAAAAACTAGCAGGTAGAGTTACTAGGTGCAGGTCTTAACAACAGCATGGCTTAGGAGGTGGTGTTGTAACTTTACAAATTTAACTTTATTAAAAGAGAGTTTTGTTATTAAAAACAGCAGTCGAGTTAAGGACCAAATTGCGCAGTTTGGAAATAAGTTTGTATGAAAAATATCAGCCAAGATAAGAGAGGTTTGTAATCTCACAATTTCCACTAAAGCTATTTAATAAGAAACTTAGCTTGGGAAGGGAAACGTATTATTGGAACGCTAAATAAATGTGTAGGCGGAACATTTTAATCCATTAGGGGACTTTTCCCCAACAAAGATGGGCAAACATTGACCCAATGGAGTTGTTTCATAGTCGACTTGCCCTGTCCCTGAGGGCCTGCATTAGAAAGCCATTACATTTTCTGTGAAAACATCAAAGGATAGTACGACTTATAAAATTAGTTGACTGACGCGGGTCAAATGTCGCGCAACGCGTTCAAGGAGTTGAGGGTTCAGCTCCGAACCATGCGGTGGCTTGGTGTCCTGCGGTTCAGCATCAACTTTGAGAAGAGCTTGGTTCGGGAAGACGCTTTCGAGCAGCGCTGTTCCTGGCTGTATTTGGTGGCCGTGCTGGGCATCACCTGCAGCCTAATCGTCTATAGCTTCTATTTCCCGGGCCACTTTGTCATAGGCAGGCACAACAGCACGGGCAACTGCTATGCCCTGATCAACTTTAGGTCCTGCTGCGTGGTAACTCTGCTGGTCTACATCCAGCTCTACATGCGGCGGTGCCGCTTTGCCAGCCTTTTGCAGTCGATGCTACGGTGCAACCGAATCTACGAGAGCAGCAGGGGAGCGTTGTCGTCGGTGTTCCCCTATTTCCTGCACCTAACCCTGTTCCTGGCCTGCATGCTGAACTACGCGTATGGATACTGGGCGGCAGGCGTTCGCTTGGCCACGATTCCCATATACCTTCTGCAGTACGGGTTTTCCTATCTCGTTCTTGGCCAGCTAGTTGTCCTATTCGTCCATTGTCAGCGAATTCTGCTCTCGACCTTAGAGCACTACAATCAACTATTCCTTAAAGGACTTGAGTCGTGCAAAGAGAGCTGCGTATTTTATGAAATCTTTCGCAAGTACAATCAAGTTATGTGGCTAAGCCATGAGGAGGTAAACCAATGCTTCGGCATGCTGCTACTTCCCATAACCGGGTTTATTCTGCTGATAACCCCCGCCGGACCTTTCTACCTGGTGTCCACTATCTTCGAAGGCCGACATATGCAGAACTGGCGTTTTGTCTTTATGTCGTCAACTGCTGTATTTTGGAGCCTGCCCTGGGTGGCTCTGTTAGTGTTGGCCATGGGTATGAACGGTATTCAGAAGGAGGTGAGTAACTTGTTATACCCATTTAAAAGAATAACATAACTGGACTAGGACGGAAGCTTTCTATACCATTGAAGACATTAAGGGGTTATCCTACCCCTGACCTTTTAAAAAATTCATTTTTTTCAAAATTTTTTATATAATAGTAAAAAGTGTAAGGAATGTTGTCCGAAAATTTCAAGTCGATCGGAGGAAAACTGTAGGAATGAGGGAAATTTAAAGCGCCGTTTTTCCAGAATGTTTCAAAGGGTTTGAAACTTTGAACGCGTTTTTCTCGAAACGACTTTTTCAAAGTCGGTAGTCAAATTTTCTCGAAAACTATTGCACCGATCGACTTCTCCTTTTGCACACTTCTTTTAGACATGTTTTTCTCGTATTTGAACGAAGGATTTTTTTTTTGGTCAAATAGAACTTATTTTATAGGACGAAATATGGTCAAAATGTATGCAAAAAACGTAATTTTTTATAAAAAACGTTGTAAAAAATTCAATTTTTAATTTAAAAAAAAATCCTTCGTTCAAACACGAGTCAGACACATACACTTAAAGAAAAATTTTGGATTTTTGATTTCAGATGAAAATTGGCGGAGAAAATTTGACTACCGCCAGGGTACTATTTTTGATGGGGTCAACTTTCAGGCATTCTCATTCGCTCATTTTTTAATATTTTCTTTTCAAAATTTTACAGATTATAGTTGAAGCATTATATATTCATATTCAATAAACAAAAATTGTAAGAATATCCCAGGAGCTTTGAAAAAAATTCACGAAAATAGGCCCTTTTTTTGGGCCTCCAGGGTAGGATTACCCCTTAAGTTCAAATGAGAATGGAGTTTAGGTTCTGCAAACCTGGTTACGTTTTTTTTGCTACACGGATTTGTCCTATTGAAGCCCCGATACTTTCAGAGTCAGCTATGGGGATTTCCGTGTGAGCTTTAAAATATTTACTTATATACTCTACCGCTTATTAACAGTTCTTCAAATTTTTAATAAAAGGATACTTTGTTATTGTATTCAGAGATCATGCATCTTGAGAACAGCTAACTAAGGATAAACAAACAAGTTTTTTAAAGTAACCCTTTTCGAACAGCCTAAGCAGGTTAGGTAGATTTCTATGCATAGGTATAGTTTATTAACTGGGTGTGTTTAAAATTTAAAGTCCAAGCTTTCAACTTTCACAAGTTATCAAATGAAACTGTTTAGTACAAGTCGTAATACATGCTCCATTCTCGATCTAACTTCTAAAGGTTGAATACATCGTTAGTACTGCCCTTTTCGTCCCTTTAATCTGCTAGTCAGTCGCTTAACTTTGAAATATTTCAAAAACCCAATAATAGATGAATATTTTCACTGTACGACCAAATCATAGAACAAATTTTTCGCTTGGCCATCAGGAAAGCAAACAAGAAATATTGATTGTTCATCGCTTCGAAAGGGATTATTCCACCAAGAGACTGCCTGAAGTTCAAGGGCTTAAAGCTACAAAACAAGGGGATGTTCTAGTCAATGTATCATGGCAGGAGTCACCGAAAGAAGTGGGGTCCAATTTAATTAGTTGCGGCCATCAGGGCCAATCAATTACCGTGAAAATATTGACTTTTCCCTATCGGGCAAGTAAGCAATGAAACCGGATACCCGCCCGGTGGATTGGTCAGTTCGCAGAGACCCCTAGACAGCACAATGTCCCACGTCTGCCGAGACCTTCGACTGTACCTCCGCTTGCTGCACCTAATGGGCATGATGTGCTGGCGCTTCGATCCGGAGCACTGTCAGCTCCTGGACTCGCCTGGCCTCGACCGCTATGCCCTGGTTTATGCGGCCTTCGTTCTGGTCGCCAGCACGGGCTGCTTCGCCTTCGCCCACCTGCAGCCCCACCGCTTCCACATAGCCATCTACAACCGGACGGGCAACGTCTACGAGACCGTCATCTTTCGAAGCACGTGCCTGGTGCTCGTGCTGCTCTACGTGCTCCTCTACGTGCGGCGGCACCGGCACAGAAGCCTGGTGCAGCACCTGTTGCGCCTCAACAGGCGGTGCGTCGACAGCAGCACGGACCGCCAGTTCCTGCACAACCTCCTCCTCTACGGCGTGCTCACCGCGGTCTGCTGCGGCAACTACTTCCACGGCTACAGTCGCGCAGGACTGGCCGCGCTCCCGCTGGCTTTATGCCTGGTGGTCTACACCTACGCCTACTCGGTGCTTTGCCTGCTGCTGGTGTTCTTCGTCTGCCTCAAGCAGGTCATGGCCGCCGGCCTGACGCACTTCAACCAGCAGCTGGGCCAGGGCGCGTTGCTCCCCGCCCTCCGGGGCAGGCAGCAGATTGTGGAGGTGTGCGGCGGGGAGCTGAACGCCTGCTTCGGCCCGCTCATGCTGCCCATTGTGGCCCTGGTGCTGCTGATGGCGCCTGCAGGGCCCTTCTACCTTATCAGCACCGTGCTGGAGGGCAAGTTCGGTCCGCACGGCGGGCTCGCGATGCTTCTGACCTCCTCCATCTGGGACGCACCCTGGATGGTTATGTTGGTTCTTATGCTGCGCACGAACGGCATTGCGGTGGAAGTGAGTTCAGGGAATAGTCTTGTAGAAATACGCGCAGATTTGTGGTAGTGACACCAGACCTTTACTCTGTTTTGCAGGCGAACAAGACCGCAAAGATATTGGCTAAAGTACCCAGGACCGGAACTGGATTGGATAGGATGGTAAGTCGACTCTGTGCAATTCGAATAATACTTTTACTCAGTACAATATTTTTCACAGATTGACAAGTTTCTGCTCAAGAACCTGAGGCAACAGCCCATTTTAACGGCCTTCGGCTTCTTCGCCTTGGACAAGAGCACTTTGTTCAAGGTAAGCTAGTTTGAATCCATAGCACTCACTATTTAACAAGTTTTCCTTCGAAACAGCTATTTACAGCGATCTTTACGTACATGGTAATTCTGGTACAGTTCAAGGAAATGGAAAACTCTACAAAGGCCATTGGAAAGGTTTAATGACTTACCGAATCGTACGTTAAGCAGCCCGTAGCCTTCGATCTATAGTTTCTGCGCCATTTTCTGTACTCAGCTTTGATTACAGCTGAATGACGTTTCCAGTACTTGCCTTCAAGAACAACAGTCTGTGTGGGGTAGAAGAGAAAGATAAAGCGGGATGAGAGGCGTGTTTACAAAGAAACCTTGTTAATTTCCTAATCAAGAGCAAATATATACTGTGTGTTTTAACTTAATAATGATTGTTCGTAATCTAAATGCCAGCCGAGATAACGGGGGAGAGGTAATATTCCGGAGAGTGCTCCATATTTTGCGCACTTCATTACTGATTCAAATTGTCACTTTCCTTTGCATAAGCTATTCCCCATAAGCTAGGATAGAAACCTAATGGCCTTATTAACTAAGAGATTTTCTGAGTTTACAATCGGTTTTAAAAAACATATTTTCTTGATTTTTCACTTCCTAACTGCATCTTTTCGATTAGTCGCACCTTTTCGTTAAGGTCAATACAGTGCCCATTTCACTCAAATGGACAATAGGAACCGAATTTGAATAACTTTCAGCTATTACAGTAGTTGGTGTTTCGAAACTGAATCACGTTCGTAATCTTAAAGTGTCAGGCTTAAAACTGTATTGCCTCCAGCGAAAGTTGCCAAACGATAAGTGCACCGATTATATATTGTGGTACTTCAATTGAATCTCGGTCTATAAATACCGCTGCCCCGACAATAGGTTAATGACAGCTAAAAATAACACCACCACAAGTCGCCGCTCTTATCACGTGCAGCTGGAGAGAGTTTGGCAGAAAGAAGATGGTAAAACCAGGGCACTCCAGGGGTCCAGTCCGTATCTCTCGCCGAATTCGATGGCGCACGACAATCGCGCGCTGATCACGCCGCAATCGAGTGGTGTCCTCCCTTGGGGAGCACCGTCACTCGCGGACAGTAAAGTGTTCGGCGATTGCTAAATGAGGATATCTCGGCCAACCATTCCAGGCGTGCGCCACTTCTCGCAGGTAATTCCAACTCTATGACGCGCATGCGAGTGGTGGTCCGATGTGGACTGCCCCATGGCGATTCGAGTGGCCCCGTTATTTAGTCAATGACTAAGGCTCTATTTACAACTGATTTTTGATTTCATCAATTTACAAATTTTTTTTTCTGTCTATTTTCTTTATTGAGCCCTCAGCTAATGTAAATAAACCAAATAATAACCTCTGCAATGGTATACAAACTTTAATAGCCTGTGCTTCAGTAAAAAATTTGATTTAATAATTTCGTAATTAAAGCGTAAGTCATTAAAATTTACTTATATAAACTGAAAGGAAAGCAACTATGTGCTTTTATAGAATAAAATTAGGGGTCCGATCAGACAGAAGAACAGACGTACAGACGTATTTCGATTCAGATTGTGATGCTGATCAGGAACAAATATACTTTATGGGGTCTGAGGTGTCTCCTTCACTGCGTTGCAAACTTCTGGCAAAAATTATAATACCCTTTTGCTCTGCAAGGGTATAACAATAACAATAATGGTTGATGACCACAAGGGCGAGCCGCAGCTAGCATCCTTTCTTGCTTAACTTGTCTTTAAAATATTTTTTTAGAACTTCCGAATAAACGTCAAGATAATTAAACAAATTTAACGATCTAATGTACACAAATTAAATGGCACTTATCAATTTTAATTTCTTTCCCGTAAAGGACAAATAGTGTATAATTGGTCATTACACGTGTCCTAATTTTGTATCAGGTCGTTCGCATCTCAGCCATATTTTATATTTGGTGGTACTTACTTGAGGATTACTATGTATGTCAACGTCCAGCGGCGATGCGAATTGACACACCGGGGTTCTGCGCTTTTGTATGACTGCAAAAATGGAAAACACACAAATACTGTTTAGTATGGAAAACATAAAAAAAGCAACGAGAGTGATAAGATTCTAGGCAGAGATAGATAGAGATAGCGAGTTCCCCGAGATGACAACAGTTGCTAGAAACACGTGTGACTGCCCAAGTGGCTCTTCCCAACAATTATCTCGGAGAGCTGTGACGTTCCTGACAATTTTACCACACAGCAAATAGATCTTAGATCTTAACTAAATCCCGTACACATGTAGGCACTACAAGTACCGTAGAGTAAAACAAGAAAGGAAGCTAGCTTCGGCAAGCCGAAGCTTATATACCCTTGCAGTCATCAAATATGTAGAACAAAACGCATAAAAGCTAGACAACATCGAAGCTAAGACGATTTTTCTATTCATTTTCCATATTTTCGACTATAGATCATATGGGAGCTATATGATATAATTGTCCGATTTTGATCAAATTTAATTCGCAATTCAAGAGTTGTAAGAAAACTCTATATTCCAAAAATCGTACTTGTCTGATGAAAAACAACGATGTTATAATTTTATTTCCGTTATTTCTATATAGATTTTTCGATCTTTTCTATGGCAGCTCTAAGATATAGTTGACCGATTTTTATGAAACTTTTTTCTCAATATAAACGTTGTTAAAAAACTTGATATTCAAAAAATCATGCTCGTGGGATAAAAAACAACGATGTTATCAATTTATTTCCATTAATTCTATATATAATTTTCGATCTCTCCTATGGCAGCTAAATGATAGTTATCCGATTTTGATAAAATTTAATCCGAAATTCAATAATAGTTAGAAAACGCCGTCTGGAAGAAATCTAGTCGATCTGATCAAAAACAACGGCATAAGAATCCGATATAGTCGCCCGATCCGGCCCGTTCCGAATTATATACTGCGTGCAACAACTACACAACTTTTGGGAAAGTTTCAGCAAGATAGCTTTAAAACTGAGAGACTAGTTTAAAGAGAAACAGACAGACGGACAGACGTATAGACGAATTTCTGATCAAGAATAGATATACTTTATGGGGCTGTGGTGTCTCCTTCAGTGCGTTGCAAACTTCTGACTGAATTTATAATACCCTCTAGCTCTGCAAGGGTATAAAAATAAAATGTTACCGACAAAGGTAATGTTCTTAGTTTTGGTGCAGAGAAATTCATAGTTATATTATTGAACATCTTTTGGGGCTCCAAATGTCAAAATTTATAGAATAATTAAAGTGCTAATGATTTTGGTCTTCAATGGCTTCCTGTTGCGGAACTTAAAAAATGAGCGACGTTGTTGAATCTAAGGGTATTTTTGTGGTTTACTAACGGTTTTCCTGATAACGCTAAGATCGTTTATTTTTAGAAACACCCTTATAAGCGGTAGAATTTTTCCACAGACAGTTATAATTTGATAACAACGATGACTGCTAAGAATGTCCAAAAATATGGTGCCTCGACTTGGCCCGTCAGCACCAACAATACGACTTGAGAGATAAAACAGGCAAATCAAGGCGGAAGATTAATCTTGCAAATTAATCGAATTCATTAGGAAGTCGTGCTACACCGTTTAAAATACTCTTTTGAACGACGTGGCCACAACAGAGATTCGAGTGTATAAGATGTCAATAGGGTTACATAACAATTGGAATTTATATTTTCGGCACTCCAAGGCTGCCGAGGAACAGCACAATTGCGGATGTCAAAGTTCTAGTTTCAAGGTAGAGCAATTTAGTGCCTCATCCACACATGTTAATTTGGTTCTTATAAGTAAACATGAAATTTTCCATTGCCTTTGTCTCCGATCCGTTGTCGTCCGCATCTAGGAGAGCGAGGAGATAATCACTGCCCTCGCGGTGGCTTGTAACGCAGCGCTGCCACCCTCCCACTCGCTCCCACTCGGATGATGTAACGGAAACTTTTGAGGCGGTATCAGCAGCAACAGCAGCAGCTGAAGCGGTAGCAGACGGTCAGCCGGCTGGCCGATTGGCTCGCGACTCTGCTGGGCTGCCTAAGCATATAATTTACTTGTCATTGCTGCTGCCTATGACGAGGTGCTAATCAAAGGGGCACTCGAGACTGCGCCACACTCCTGTCCGCGGCTGAAGTGCGCGGGAAAACTCCGAGCCCGTCTAGACGAGCGAGCAGGCGGTCACTGCGAAGAAGCAACGCCCAAAGAGGCCAGTCACCGCCGCCGGAATCCAATGCTTTAGCTTTGAATTGAATTAAGCGCCAGCAGGCCAAAAACAAAATCCACGAAACCCAAATGACAGTCGCCGAGGTCCAGACTCTGATAAGGGCCAGCGGCACAGCCGACCAAAAACATGATAAGAGCGCGGAGTGGCGAGGGCGGCAAAAAGAGCCGACGATGCCCGCCTGGCAACGCCAAGTCACCCGATTCACCATCCAGCCAGCCAGCCGGGAATCGTGTCTGGGATCTGCCCGAAACCAGATGACAACCCTTACCGAAGATTTGCTACCCAGCCAAAAGTGTGCTTTAAATGCTTCCGATTCCCCTTCGGGGGTTTTTTGCTGCACGTGCCTCACTTTTCAAGGAAATAAACATCAAATTGACGTATAATTTGTTCGGAATATTTTACCAATGCCAATTGCGGCCAATCAGATCCGCTCAATGCCAATAACATGTGGAAAACCTCTACAAAGTACGAATCCCAAGAGCCCTAAGCAAATAAACAATACGGGCTCCTATCAGATTCTTTGTACACGGTAGAACCAATTAATAACTCAGCCTGATTAGATATTTGAGAAAATCTTTTAAAATCTTCTTTTAATTCCAATCATCGTGTAAAACCAGACTAAAAGCTCATTTATTTAAGAAAAAACTTTTTTGTTTTTGTGAGATATTATATAAATGTCCTCCGATATTTTCTCGCATTTTGTTTAAATTAATGCCAACGTTAGACTTTTAGTTATAATAAAAAAAGCCGTTGAATAATTTTTTTTTAATAAATTAGATTTTAATGCACTTTTGGAAGTTAAATATGATTGCCCTTGTTTAATTGAATGTAATCAATCGTTGTTTTAGGGTCCTAAAAGCATTACTTCTGTTTAGAGTGCCTCGGCATCAAGATATGTTGTTATATTTATTGGTATACTTGGTCAATACTTTTTATTTTGCGAGTGTTCCTAAAGAATTCACTCTGCTTTAATTCGAGTAACTCGACTTGTGCTTCGGCTTGCCAAATCTATCTTCCTTGCTTGATTTTGAAAACATTATTTTTTGCGCTCAAGATTTGCAAAATACATACATTCTTAGATAAACTGCCCCTACTCTCTTGTTAAAGCTAAGATTATTACTCACATTGCATGTGCCAGCAACGCCAAATGACATTGTTTAGACGGATTTTGTCCTTCCAACGAAGTCGAACTCCTTTGAAATGATTCCATTTGGGAGATGTGAGTTTTTGACTGAAAATACGAAAGTTGTGTTATTTAAAAGTTAACTCAAGCTATAGAACAAATTTGTAAGCACGGGTGGAAAAAACTATATCGAGGAGGGAATGAGGTAAACTACGTATTGGTTCTGAACATTACCCAAACTTTTTCCTATTATCTCTGTTGTAATCTCGATCGTTGTGTCAATATTATCAGTCTATAATAAACACATCGAATTGTTTATAAATATTATAGCAACACGCAGATTGTGATCTAAAAATACTCGGACCTCTAACCCCAAACAAGCCACAATCTGTAAAATCTGCCTATATATGCACAGCTGTACATATATTCTGCCACTTTGCCTCATTCCTAATGAAGAGTTTTTAGTGATGTCGAATTATGTAATATCGAACTAAGCTAAAAACAATTAATAAATACATATCAAGGTGAATGATTATACGTATAATAAACAATAAGAATCAATTGATACGCAATGTGTTCCACTGTTGATTCATTATTGTTGTTAGAACAAAAAGACACTTCATAAATAGCATTATTTTTTTCTACGTAGCTGGTGATTCATTCAAATATATTGGACTAACATTAGATAAATACCTGCCGTTTGTTGCTATTCTCAAACAGAACCTTTCAAATGAGAACTATATTGCACAACCTGGCACTCGAAAGCAGTTTAACAACATTTTCATGTGGGGGAGCCCCTTCACAGAAGAATTTAGATATTGCTTTATCTAGTGACGTAGCTGTTTGAACGTGATTAACTTCCTATAGTTTCCGTACAGTGGGTCACAACTTATTTGAACCCCTGAATTTTAACAGCCTCTAAAACTCCAAATCAAAAATTAACATATTTCTTAATTTGCAAAAAACTTTTAAAAGTGTTTAAATTGTCCTCTTTTTTTGCGGTTGTAACTAAATCAACAAATTAACGTAAAATTCGGATTTAAAAATTGTATCTGGTTTACTCAAATAAACTGAAGTAAAGTTAGAAGCAAAAAAAGTCTTGTAGAGGAAAACTAGACTTTTGTTTAAGGATTTTTTGTTACGATGGTTCCAAAGAGTTTCTTGTGATATTTGACTGAAATCGTAATACCCTCCAACAGGGCATAAAAATGGAAGTATGCAGTGCACCCTTTTGGATAACAACCATTTTAATCCTACATTTACATATGTGTTGTTAATAGACTAAATTCAAGTTCTCAAACTAAGGAACATTAATAAGCTGTTTTAAAAATATAATATAGTTTGGAGAAGCCAACGCCTACTATGAAAGTATATCTTAACAACAAAATTACATATACGTTTGGGTTTATCAATTTCAATTGAATTGGTATACCAACGAAATTTATTTATATGAAAGATGTTTTTAAATCTGTGCAGTGGGCATACTTATATCTCGAGATACAATTCTTTGAACAGAAATGGCATAAAAATGTGGAAGTGCACAGTTTATTTGCACAGTTTAAAAAAAATAAGGATAACAACTACCTATGTATTTAAATACCTTAACAAAATTTGACTAAACACAATAGTACTCTTTATTGTTTTTATTAATAAACGTACCTACATAATTAGCAGCACTTAACACTAATTAAAGTTGGGGCATCAACTGATAGTATCATATGTATTGTTTTTTTAGTGCTCTTAGAGTTGATAGTGTCAACACAATATATTTGTAGTGCCAACAATAATGCGTCCATATATTCAGAATCTGTTTTGTGCCCAATGCAACGCAAAGGTGCACAAACAGAGGAAAGTAAAGGTGTTTATCTTTGGGATGCATAAAATGTTGTGACTCTGTTCATTTTGCAAATCCCAATAATATTTTTATTGTTTATTCCCTATTTTAAAAACTACAAAAAAAAGACCTTCCTCAAGTTAGACTAATTCTTTATTATTATTTAATATCCTTGTTACTTAATTTCCAAATCTTTAGCTGGTCAGTTTGTTTCGCCAGTAAGAACAGACAAATAGCCAGCCACTTCAGAAATTGGTGGTTTGGAATCATTCTGATATCGCTGTAGCAATATTTTGATATTTTTTCGTGATGATTACGCTACGTTTGCAGAAATGGGAAACGTACCACCCGTAAGAAGGGGAAAGAGAGGTGAGAGAGGAAAACAAGCGATTGAGGCAAAGTTGGGTCCAAAGTAACCCGAGCAACATGTGCCGCGATTATGCGACCGAAGCGGTCCAAGCTTTTGGGTTGCTGGATTTCGTTGGCCAGTTTGGCGTTATCACGCTCGGAGCGCGTGAACAAGCGGGAAACTGTATTCCATAGCTCGTCGCTGAACGGCTGCCGCTCTTTAAGGCAGTTGGCCGTGTGGGACTCTGCAACTCACCTGTAGGCCAGATTCATGCACTTGAAGAGCTTGGTAAGCGAGGTCTCGATCTCTAGGTGCGATGCCACCATGCTCATGCTGCTCTCGTCGCCCTCCTGGTCCATGGGGCTGAAGTGGGCCACCGTCTGAGGCACGTACAGCTGGACGTCGCGGCACGTGTTGGCCGGCTCGCCCGGCTTGCCTAGCTCGGGATCCTCGGGGTCCAGCATCTTCACCTCACCGTCGTCCTCGAGGTCGTCCTGCGCCTCCTCAGCTTCGAAGTGCGAGACCATGAACTGTCCGGAGTGGATGGACTCGCGCTCCGCCTTCAGCAGGTCCGCCGTGGACTCAGCGGGGCATGCCGGCGCGACCGCTCCTGCTCCGTACTGCAGGTGAGGGAAGTTGTGGGGCAGCGACAGTGTCTGCGGTTGCTGCTGCTGCAGCTGGGGCAGCTGGTGCTGCTGTTGGTGGGGAAACATTTGGCTTGTGCGTTGGAATCCTTCGTATTTATTCAGCATCATTTTCACCGAGTGCCGGGGGATGCCTATGCAAATTCTTCACTCGTGCGCTCGAAACAGTTTGGCGTTCACAGTTTTAGCTGCTGGTGACGCGGCACATTTAATGGTTTTTTAATGTCTCTGGCGCAGCAATGGCAATTAAATGCTGGTGCTGGCCCTTCTTCCGCGGGGCTGGGGATTTTCCATAGCTCTGTAAACGAATACGCGGGTCAAACGATTTGTAAACGAAGCCTAGGATTTGTTGCGTGTTTAGCACGTTTAATAATACTTTAGAGATCTGGTGTTTCTTAAGTTCTCCTAATCAAATCGCTAATTGCAGCGCTTCTTGAATTGATTGAGGCTTAGCGCGGTGTCAGTATTTGATTTGTTTACTACGCTCGACACCTCGAGCTTTTCGCCATCGACACCTGTCCGATTGGCGCTTTTTCCGGAGCTTCTCTACTGGCAAACACGCCCCGCTTTTGCCGTTATTTTAATGCGTCACAAAGCACAATAATAACAATAATCGCACACACACGCGCGCGTACAAGGGCGGACTACTGGGGGTGGCGAGGGTACGGACGTCAGAGCGAGACGTCAGCGGCCGCGCTCCTTGCCCCGACGTGGAAAAGCCAACTATACGTCCGAAGAACGTTCGCAGCACACGCGGCTCGGTTGGTGGTCAGCGGACCTGCGGAACTTGCTAAGGCCAGTAGAACGAGCGGTTCCCTTCCACGAACGGAACTGATCGAAGAACGAAGCTGCGACCCAAGCGAAACCTGTGCGCGCACACAGTCAAAACATTGAACAGCTGACGCGCTCTGCCTCTCTCTCTCGCTCCCTCTGCTTATCAGCATGAGCACTGCGGGCACTAGGGGAATGTGTGTGTGGAGATACTAGGGAACGATGCTATTCAACCTTCCCCTTCCTTTCCACCGGATTCTTCGTGGGCGGAGCACCTAAGCAATTTACGGATGCGGCGATTTGCTCGGTCGCATTCGACCTTGCCACTTGCCGATGCACTCCACGAGCAGCTCCGCGTTTGCACTTTTGACCTCTGGCCGCGCTGCCCCCGTGTTCCTTACTTCCGTGCCCACTCACAAGCACGCACACAAGCGCGAAGCGTTGGGGGCACAACTGCAGCTGCCCCCAAAAGCACGAAGCAAAAACAAAAACCGAGCAGTTCGCCCATACGACAGATTCCCACCGACGACGCACACACGCGCGTACCTCAAAGCTGCTACGTAGTTTAATTACAATTTAGCTCGGATTAACTCAAAGCGATGAGCGAGCCCTCGCCCTCCCTCCAGGGTTGTCAAGCGATCGCCAGCTCTGATAAACAGAGTGACTGCCTAAAAATGGACGTCGGTCAGCGCAAATATGAGCCGCGAAACGCAACAATGAGCGAAGGAGGGGTAGGCCAATAGGCCAATACTATTGGGGTTCCGAGTACTTCGGGTTGGGTAAAAACATCTGCTGCTTAGATGAGCTTTTCAATGCTAACCAAATAAACTTTGGGGAATACCCCGAATGGTTTTCGACTGCCACTTTCATCGATACGCATCCTATCGATATCATCAAACGTATCGTTTCCTCTCACATCCCCAACAACACTCATTATCGTTCCAAATGAAACGCAAAAAGGTCCAACTGTTATTTTCTCCAACGTTTTCGGCATTTATATCACCGTAAAGATGGCTCTATAGTTTGCGCGCAAGCAAAAACAACCAGCACCTAGGTGCCCCAAATACAACAAAATGGAAACGTATAAAAAACAATCGTGAGTATGCCCCAAACGGTTGGCACGCCAATTTCGCAGTGTCCTCGCACACTGACGCACTTGTACGTTGCAAATTCACCGATGCTGCACGTGTGTTTGTGTAGTCGGCTTGTATGGATTCTCGTTCAGCACCTTCAACGTGGCAAAACGAAACTCAACGCTATGTGGCATGCCACTGAGGTAGGGAAATTGGCTGACGCAATCGCCGCCTGGAGTTGAGTAATTCGCGTTGCAAGTATTACCCGTGCCGTGTGGTGACTCACCACAGTGAGGACTTCCCTCAGCGAACGCACCCCAAACGGAAGGTCTGCGCGTTCTACAACTTGTGGCATGACTGCAATTTTCTTTGTTTACTTTCATCGGAAGGCAGCTGTCTTTTATTTTGACTTTTGATTAGCAAGGTAATTTTTTTTTGTAGTCTAGGGAACACATATTTACCTTTTAAAAGAACACCAAAAAGCATTCATATGTACACAAAATGCAATTATGTTTACCACTGTAAACAATGTGTGTTTGTGCGTTGGTAAAGTAACAAGTCATTGTAAATGACATGTAAATTCCACTTTAAACTAAAGTTTTGAAAATAATTTCGTGCAAAATTCTCTGAATACGTCTAAGGGAGGCGATGATGGCTTATCACCATGACTGGCAGTCAATCTGTTTTTATTTAGACGTTCAAAGAGAGCGATCCATTCCTGCAAAGCCCTATAGTGTTAATCTCGCGCACAATTAGCTAACAACTGTTCTGTTTCTGCAATTTTAGTGCCACCATGGCATCCTCACAACAACAAGAACCACAGCAAAAACAACCATTGACATTCTTCGGACCGGACTTCACTTTATCAACAAAAAAGCATATATCTGACTTCTGATTTTGACTTTAAATATGGACGCATCATTTCACCAAACCATGGAGAGTTTGCAGCTGCCCAAGGAGCTGTATTGGGACCTCAAACTGGAGCCACAATCCCCAACATCGGCGTTGAGCTCCGATCTGTTCTCGCTCTCTGACTCAACTGACACCAAGTGGCTGTATGACGATAACTTTGCAAATGGTCGGTGCTCCTTTTTGCCACTCTCGAATTGAAAATAGTTGCTAAAGAATCTCTATTTCAGGCATTACCCTTATTGACGATGAAGAAGCCTTGAGCCTGAACGAGGCAGCTTCTCTCGAGCTGCTTAGCAACGAGGAATTGGTGGTGGAAATCTTTGACCTGAAAGATGATGGTGAGTCGAATGCACTACTTTCTTCTTCTTATAAATTCATTAAAATTGGTCTAGCAACTTCTTTATTCAAACAGCTAAAAGATAGCACTTGCTCCAGGATTAATTTCCCACTTAAAATACTTGGTTTAGCCATTTTATTTAAACAATTATAAGATTTTGAGTGTGACTAAGTCCGCCATATTCTTATGCTAGCTCAACTATAGCCTACAAAAACTGTGGACAAAAAATAATTACAGCCCTTAACGAATATAAGCTAAACGCCGACTGCAAAGTATTCAAAAAAAACAATTGTATATAAACAAAGCCAAGTGGAAAACAAAATCGGTAAAATGGAAATGCAGTTGAACTTTGAACGTCTGCACAACGACTAACAGAGACCCCATATAAACAACTCTTGCTGAACAGCTTTAGGCGTTTTAGGAAATTTTTACGACGGTTATATAAATTAGTTTTTTATTTATCTGTGATATTTCAAAATAACAGAGACAAAAACCTTTTATTCTCTTTGGGATATTCTTGATTTACAGACACGGCCAGCTTGATTTTGTTAGCTGAATCATTGAGGGGCGCGCACACATAATTTTTTTCACCAAAATATTCAGACAACTGAAGTTGAGAAACCGGATCGAGGCTTGCTTTGTTTTCGTTAGCGTATTTACTGACATTTTGGTCAGCTTGTACATAGTTATGTACATACATATGTCTTCGTGTTGTTTTCACCGTGCCTTTTATTGTTGTTATCAACGTTGCCCGCAAGCCAGCGCTGTAATGGCCAATTTCGAGGCAACAACAAAGGCCCGGGGAGAGCAATGAAATCAGTTTTCGATCCGTTTGCGTTCCTCGATCACGCGGTAGGCGAGTGATCGGCGGGACTCTTTCCATCTAGCTCTTAAACAATCTCTTCTGACTCTTTGCTAACGCTCAGCTGGCACTTCAAAGCATTCCATAGATAACAGCTGCTTGTATCTCCGCATGGTTGCAGTTCTCTCTCTCCGATGCTTATAAGTATTCAAAACAAGGGCTTGTAATACTGGATTTAAGGTTAAAATACATCGTTTTGGATTAAAGTAAGCCAGCTATTCGATCAAAAAGTACTGATCTGGCATTTCTCCAATCATAAGCCTTTTGGCGTAATAAATTTGTTATTTTTAATCCGGACAGGAAGCTTCTTTGTTTTAAAATTTAAATTTATCCTGTGGACGTGCCCCCTATTTTGGTACAGACGCTTTGAGGCTTGGTCAATGTTATAAATAACTTTCAACCTGAGAGAAATTTTGACTCACTTGACTGTTGTTAAATAATTATGTTTTATTTGTAATAACTTGTTGTGTACACTGAATCGTCACACCTCTAAATACATATTACATATATATTATGTTACGTGTCTCTATAGGTTACCTTTTGGTAGTTCAGGGCATGAGAAAAGGTGTCGAGTTACTGGGCATGGGCGAAATCACTTAATTTATTCCCCCTAACAACAACCAATTAACCAACCATCTCAGGGGCTCAATCGTGTCGGGGGTAAATGGTGACATACTGATTATACACACATTTCCAACAGCTGATAATGCTATATTCAAGGCACATACATACTTTTAAAATGCAATTCTATATGAAACAGAGACCCAGGAAAGGACAGTGGTCGTAATACCTGTTATCAACTACAAAACACAGCATATAATACTTTACAAATGGGAAAACGGGATAGTTCCTATTAACAACTATTTACTCGGAGAAAGCTCTGTGTTTTCCAAGGCTATATTTTTGTCAAATTGTTTAAGAATGGAAGAGAAAAGCATAAGTAAGCTATTAATGTTGTCAAGCATGTTACATGTTTGAAAAGACTAAGTTCTTTTACTCTTTCGTTTGTGTGTTATCGGTTTAACCAAAAGTGGATACCCGCCCACCAGGCGCAAGTCGTGAAATTGAAGTTTGTTTAACTTTCACTCGACTAGGGGTCCGGGGCACAAGTTATTGGCGAACCCTGCACCACTGTGCAGAGTCCGTTGGCTCGATCGAAGTGGCTCGCACTGTGACCGCTCGCTTGTCGCTGCTGATAGCATCTCGGGCTCGAAATAAACCAGCAGATTGATCTTAATGCAGGGCCGCTCTCTGGGCTCCACTGGCTCTCCCAGAGCAGCTTGCTCGTTCTGGGCTGGCAGTTGGCCAAGCAAAAACCTGGCGCGCTCTGCGGTCGGAACTCAGTACAAATCGTTACTCAGACGCGAGCGCTCGAGTTGAAACTCGGCTTTGACTTCGATTTCCGCACCCGCCTGCCTGCCACCCACCCGTCTTGAGCCACAGCAAGCAAAACACAAAGAAAACTGCCCAAAGCGAACAGAGACAATAACAAATACGCAGAGAAGTGGCGAGCGCACAAGCACACGTCTTGACGTTTTCAAAACGTTCAAAAGGCGAGAGGAAACAGTGGAGAACGTCTAGAAAACTGATTTGAGTGCGTTAAAAAAAGACAGTTGTCAAATTATCCTGACGAAGGAATGCTCCGGTGTTGTCGTCAGGAATAAATTAGAAAGAACGTGTAATCTAGGCCAACGCCCAGCTGTAAGAAGGCGTGTTCTCCAAAACACGAAGTGCGAAGTGAATTGGCAGCAGTGAAGTGAAGGCCTTTTGATTGCCACTCAACTTTTGCAACGGCGGCAAACAAAACGGCAAAAGTCCGCTTAAGGCGACCATCAGGTGTCAACTATATGTAGCCAGCCCCAGGAAAATAGGCGAACCGACGATAACCTCACGAGCACCCGAAAATTCGTGTTTGGGCACCAAGGACTTTGTTAGCATGATACCACACTGTGGATACCGTTACATGTGGAACCGTGAAATTGTGATAAACTCGCAAAAGTTGGTGAAACGACGTTAAGCAGCAGTCCCAGCCATCCGACCACGCCGACTCTTTTGCGGCAGCAGTTGGATACCAAGGACAGAAAGACAAGAACCGAAGGACAGACACACAATCGAAACCTATAACTCAATTTATTCATGCCGTTATAACGTGGAAAGCTCTAGATACTTTTTCGATCTGGGGTTGTTTTTTTCAGTTTTGACATAAGTCGGGCTTTACATTGAACTTTTAGTTAAATCCGACACATAGTTTCTTATACATTCTTAACTGTTTTTTGTATTTCTATTAACTCTACGTAAGCGGTGGACTTAAAACTGCTGAGACAGCACGTTCTGCAGCCATTCGATTGTACATTCAAAATTGACTCTGTGATTTTTTATTGACCTTTTGCAAATATTTTATTAATCTTTATATTAAAATTCGAAAATTGTTCATATTATTTACGAAGCGCATCTCGTTAACATAGATATTGTAGGTATTAATTAAGTTAAAACTCTTTTTTGTTCTGTAAGATTTTATTTTTGCGATTCGTACAAGTTTATATATAGATTAGGTTAAGTCATTTATACAACATATTTGTTCTTTTTGTTCCACTTTCTTTTACTGCCTTAATTTTATTTGATTGCAACTGAGCGAACATTTTCCTTACATTTGACAACATTACGGTTCACTGCTGCCGCAAACATGAGTACATACATATTTATGCAAGCCTATGGTTAGTATTAAAAACATTACTAATTGCAAAACATATAATTATAACTTGGGGTTTCCTTCTGTCTCGGTCAGCTTGAAACACTTGGCAATTTCTGATGACTTCAGGTCAATCCGGTTTATCGCTGAATGTCTTGGTACTCCTTTAACTTTTTATTGATCGCATTCTTTAAGATATTTTAAAAAATTGATTTGCATTCGACTGAATAATAAGTGGTGTTACTTGAGTTTTTCTATTTTAGTGATTTTTAAAGACGTTTAGATTTAGAATATTTGAACACTTTTACTAAAGCAAAGTAAGATAAAAATATCTATTTTTAATAGAATACTTGATTTAGAAAAAAAACATTTAACTTAACTCCCCTGTAATACATTCGTGAAATTTTTGAATGGGTTTTTCCTCAGTTTCCCTGATATTTCCAGCAATCTATCATGGTGTTTTCCTAAGCAAGTAACTCAAGCTTAAACAGCACATTTATGTGTCTATTAAGGCATTTGTGCGTCAAGGTTTTTGCTAATCATGTTCTCATTAAATATTATTATATAATATATGTGCTTTTCTATACGACTGTATGGACTGGAAATATACTTGACGCTGTCGTTGTTTTTGATAATTCGAAAGGCAACATTGTTTGCTTGACCTAATCTGACTAGTTGCAAGTTCTTTAAAGTTTGTATAGGGCTAAGAGTGAAGTACTTTATGTTGACGAGGAGCCAATTTTAATTTGCTGTGTGATACTTTGTTAATTCAACAGTAAAGTATTGGTTGAGGTCGCGTCAAAGTGCACAATACAATAAAATATTGCAACAAACTGGGCTGGGCATGGCAACACAAATAGTTATAAGTCACATTTTTATGTTAATAAAAAAACGCAGTTGCTCTGCTTTCTCAACGTATTAGAGCGCAGCTGTTTGCGAACAGATTACAGGCTGGCAGACTGGTCGATCGAAGCGAAACGTGTTATGCTAATGCTTAATCGATCTTGGGAGAGGCTGATGCTTAGACTGGCCCCAACCCAAGGTGTCGCAGGGTCAACTTTTACAAGCAAACAGGTGTTGCAACAGTGCTTCTTAAAGGTTTCGCCCACGCGTTTCTTTGCGATCGAAACATTTTTTTCTCACTGTGATTTTTCAGAACGCTTTGCACAAACAATCAAACTCGTGTCGTCGAACTTTGTCCAATATATGTCATCTCTGTTGCTCGATAATAAAAGCGAATTGAAAACAACAGCAAATCAGAAGTATATTGAGGAAAATATGCCACAATCAATATGTAAATGTTTTCCAGAGTTGTGAACGAGACGCGGGCATTTGTCGCGTCCTTCGCTTTAATGGAAATAAGTTTCAATTGAGAATGGAACGACATAGCATATCAATATTCGCTAGGAAAAAACAAAGTCGTAGTTGTTGTTTATGAAGTTGGAAAAAAATGGACGGGGAAGTGAAGCAAATTTTTTTTGTTTTATTAATAGCGAATAAAAAACAGTTGTACATATTTAAGAAACTTAAATCTTTTCCACTTTTTAATAAATTTTAAAGTGCTTTTTTGGGTATAAAAGCACTGTTTAGGTATACATATATTAAAAACAGGACCCAAATAAACAGCAACAAAAAAAGTAGTTTCCAAACTTAATTTTTATTTTTTATTTCTTTTAAACTTAAATTCTGTGCAACTTTTAAAAAGATATATAACCAATTTCCTAAATAACCGATTAAAAATGTTTTGAATATAATTTTATTAGAATGCCTCCTGGACCAAAAGGCAACCCTGAACTGCATCGACTATGACGGTAACAGCTATCAGCCCAACATCGACGTTGCCAGCCAGCCGACAATACACTCAAGCAAAGTACAACTCGCTGCATCTCTCGTTTCTGGCGACGATTACCAGCTTGGTGATGCCCCATCTGCAATCTTGCAGCAGCTAACGCCGCCCCAGTCGCCGCCCCAATTCGATGCTTACAGTCAGCCAGCGAAATCTCCCCAGCCGGTCTTCGTAAAGGCAGAGCAGAAGGTGGTAAGTCTTACAACCAACCAGCAAGGCTTTTGAAGTTTTTATTAAATCCTGCATTTTTACAGCAATGCTACACTCCCGATGTTACCAATATGGGCGCCGCCACCCCCTTCAACTTTACCAACTGGGCAGGCGGCAGCGAAATTGCCCGGGAAAACCAACTGGTCGACGATATCGTCAACATGCGTGCCAAGGAGCTTGAGTTGACCACAAACTGGCAGCCCTTTACCGACGACTGCGAGTCTCAAGCCTCGTCGTCGCTGGACAGCAGAAGCACCGCCAGCGGAGTGGGCGGCAGCATCGCCGACGCGGACGAGGACTGGCTTCCAGAGCCCGTCAGCAGTTCGTCCTCGCCAGCACACTCGTCCGTGGAGCAGCCTGTGGTCAGCCCGAAAAAGCGTACCCGCACCTACGGACGCGGTGTGGAAGACCGAAAAATCCGTAAAAAGGAGCAGAACAAGAACGCGGCCACTCGCTATCGTCAGAAGAAGAAGCTCGAAATGGAGAGTGTTCTGGGTGAGGAGCACGTGCTGTCCCAGGAAAACGAGGAGCTCCGTCGCACTCTGCGAGAGCGTCGCAACGAGATGCGCTATCTGCGCCAGTTGATACGCGAGTTTTACCAGGAACGCAAGCGCTAGGCGTTGCCTTGTCGCATCTAAGTTTCAATGTCGTTTGCAAAGTTATTGTTATCGTTAAACCCAAGAATCCCGTATTCCCCCAACAACAACATAATGCATCTATGTACACCACACAACAACAATCACCAGCCTATCCAAAGCTTAGAGAAAACCTACTATGTACATAGCCTGTCTTGGCCCTCAATTTTGGCACTTATGACGAGTCTCAGCATTCCGAATTATTCCATGCCACTGGAGGCCAATGACAAGCCTATATCGCAAACAGCACAGGCCAATCTGTCACCCAAAAGAGACAACAGATTTTTAATTGCATAAAAACTCGAATGAAAACCTTTTTCAATTGTTTTTTTTGCGACGTGGCTGTTGTACTAGATTGATTTCGATTTTATTTTTTGGACAATAGTTTTTACAAATGTAATGATTTCTTTTAATGATTTTTTTAACAATATAAATATACAAATACTATGAACATCATGTATCAGCATTAAATCAAAAAGGGTTTTCAAAATAAAAATACTTGTTTTTCATTAATAAAATCAGTTGGGAATTTCAGTTGGATTTTTAAAAACTTTTTTCCTGCGTATTTATTAAAATAATTTGTGTCTTTCAGCCCAATATTCAAGCTTAAATAGTTTTAAAGATCTCTACGTTCAAACAAAGAGAAGGGAAGACACGCGCCCAATGCCAGTTCCCACAAAGTTTCTCGGATTGTGTGCAAAAGAGTGGGCGTGGCACAAAGATTTTACAAGCTGGCGTTTCTTCGAGTAACGGGAATAAAAAGCAATTTAGTCCAGTAAAAATAAACAACTGTTTTCAGCTTGGCTGCGGTGTGGTTTTCTGTAAATATCTCCCAATTATTAATACAAAATTAATTTTATTAGAACAAGAAGGGAAACTAGCTTCTGTAAGCCGAAGCTTATATACCATTGCAGACATTAAATATGTCTAACAAAATACATAAAGGCTAAACGACATCGAAGGTATGACGATATATCAGATCAGCTATATGATATAATTGTCCGATTTTTATGAAATTTATTTCGTAATTGAAGAGTCGTTAGAAAACTCTATATTCCAAAAATCATGATTGTCTGATGAAAAACAACCATTAATCATTTTATTTCCGTTATTTCTATAATTTTTTATACCCTTGCAGAGCAAAAGGGTATTATAATTTCAGTCAGAAGTTTGCAACGCAGTGAAGGAGACACCTCAGCCCCATAAAGTATATATATTCTTGATCAGCATCACGAGCAGAATCGGAATACGTCTGTACGTCTGTCCGTCTGTTCGCCTGTCTGTTTCTACGCAAACTAGTCTCTCAGTTTTAAAGCTATCTTGCTGAAACTTTCCCAAAAGGTGTGTAGTTATTGCACGCAGTATATATGTAAATCGGAACTGGCCGGATCGGCCGACTATATCGGATAGCTCCCATACGAGAGAATGAAATAAAAAACTCTCACGCCGTTGTTTTTGCCCAGATCGGCTGTTTTTTATCCCACGAGCATAATATTTTGAATATCAAGTTTTTTAGCAACCCTTAAATTCAGAAAAAGTTTCATAAAAATCGGACAACTATATCTTATAGCTGCCATTGGAAAGATCAAAAAATCTATATATGTAGAAATAACTGAAATTAAATTATAACACCTTTGTTTTTCCTCAGATAAGCATGATTTTTGGAATATAAATATATCATATAGCTGCCATATTATCTATAGTCGAATATATCGAAAATGAATAGAAAAATGGTCATAGCTTCGATGTTGTTTAGCCTTTATGTATTTTGTTTGACATATTTGATGACTGCAAGGGTATATAAGCTTCGGCTTGCAGAAGCTATCTTCCTTTCTTGTTTTTTATTGAAATTTACTATGTTAACATGTTGAGCAGTCGATATTTTTACTTTTTAATCGAAAGTTTTTTATGAGTTTGATAATATTAATAAACACACCGTAAAAAAAGGTCGTTTTTGCAAAAAAAAAATGCATTATCTTGAAAAGTTTTTGGCGGATTTATATGAAATTTTAGATATAAAGGCTTTCAATGTCGCTGATTAAGGATTTGCAATCAGATTTTGATCCAATATGGCGGACCGAAGTAGTGAAGCCTATCTACATATATCGGATAGCTCTCATAGGAGCGACCGAAATAAAACGGGAGGGAAATTATCATGGGGTAGTTTGTTATTATATTAACATGATTTTTTCTAGGTGGTGTTTTCTAAGGACTCTTGAGATTCTAATTAAATTTAACGAAAGTCGGACGCCTATATCAAAAAGCTGTCATAGGAACATTCGGTGAAAATATAGAAAATTAGTAGAACAACCTTTATAGCTTTGATGTTGTTCAGCCCTTAAGCCTTTTGCTCGAGATTTGTGATGACTGCAAGGGCATATAAGCTTCTGCTCGTCGAAGTTTGCTTCTTCTTTTGCTTTAATTATACTTTCACTGCGTAAGTCTCACTAGATAAGGAAAGATAAACAGACATGGCTAGGTCGTCTCCTGTAATTATCATAATAAATTATATTTTATTTTATTCATTTCTTTATTTTGTGGAACTTCTAATACTTCTTGCAAACTGGAATTCAACAATTTTGTAAGTCTTAAGATATATTTGTTACAGAAGAAAAATGTATGACGATATTTCTGTAAGCTTTGTTACTTAACATTTTTTTACATTTTTATTTAAACTGCAAGGATGTGACCGGTTCCTGCAGCACTCATAGGTACGGTGTAAACATGGCTAGTGGGTTACCTCTCTTACCCTTAAGCTTAAAGCACATTTCAGGAATCCTGAATATCTCTGTTTGAGTTCTCCTCTTGCGCTCTGCTAAATCGAGAACATCGACTTTATCGAAACTTTCCATAATTAATTTGCAATGAACAAGTTTAGGGAGAGAGCCAATCCACTCGACCAACTACGCTGTCCTCCTTCCTGGCTCCTGATAGGAACTCCGCCATGTGGGATGTCAGTGAAAGCCAGTGCAGTAGTTGTGGATATCCTGGGTGACGTGGGCATAATCGGATTATGATTATGATTATGTCGATGAATATGAGGCGGATATAAGCGCGTTCCACGTACTTGACAAAGTGCATTGAAATTAAATCAGGGACGCCAATTAATTGCAAAATTGAGAAAAACACTGAAAATGGAGATTGATATAGTCCGAATACCTACGCCCGGGGCGGAGCCATGACACCAAAACAATCCCTCGCTGCTGAGATTCAGATTCAGATTGGGGTTGGGATATGGGAATCGGCCCGGCATGGGTAGCTCTGGGATTTTCTCGCCAGGACATTTTGACTGATGAGCCGGCGACGTGAGCCGTACGTACAACTGACTTGGCTTCACTCGCTGCCGCTGGTTCTTCTTCGGGTTTCACTACTAAACTAAATTTTCCACATCGTTAATTTATATTAATATGATTTCTGTGTCAACGGTCGATGCGCTTGCCGTCTCGAGTCCTCGTCCTCGTCCGCGTCCGCCTTCGATGCCGTCGCCTTAGCCGGTGAGGTCTGGTCTGGGCTCTAATGTCGCCGATGTTGACTCCCGCCGTGTATGACAAGGCAGCCACGACGCCCATGGAGGTCGCCGGCGCAATATTTATCTAAATTGTTATTTTTCACACTCACGCAGTTCAATGAATTCGTGAAAATTACGTTTGGGACTTTGTGTTTGCTCGTCGCCGAAGCCATCCCCCCGTCGGCGAGCTTCAATTCCTCAGCTAAGAGCACGAGCCGAGTGACTCTTTAAGCGCTTGGTTAAGTATATTGGCATAAAATTCAATTTCCCTCCTTTGTGTTAATCCTGTTATTAGCTGCCGTCCTGCTGCAGAATCCTTTCATACGCGCCCCTTGAATACCGACACTACGCAGTGGAGCGCCGGGCCGAGATGGTGGGACATTTGGGTCTGCTGGGTGGGAAATCCGATTTTTTGATGAATGCTGATCCTTCAGCTAGTGCTGTTGGAGAAGATATATTTGTCCTCGAATCTTTGGCATTGTGTCAAAACAAAACCAAAAATTGAGAATATGTGTACATTATTTATGGTCAGTGTTAGTAGGTGATTTGCTTTCAAATGTTGGATCTTTTTGCGGGCAGATATAATATTAAAGTGGCAGATATATTATTAAAGTACTATGTTTGACACTTCCCTTTAATTTGATCAAAACATAATTGAGTGCTCAACATAGTTGAGAGTAATGTTTGATTTTATTCATTTTTTAACACATTCTATTACAAACTACTTAGCAATCAAATCCATATCAGAAGTGTAAGATAAAACAGAACGCTGCCACCGATCCCTGGGGAAGTCTAGGAACTTGTGGAAAAGAAATCAACGCCATCGTTAAATTTAATTAGGCATCAGATGACCGAGCAGCCCGGCTAAATCAAAACCAAATGGCCTGAAAGTGACCCAAGTGCAGGCGAAATCCAACCGCCCGGCTCAAAGGGCGCACGCAACACTTTAAAACACAATTAAAAGTCAAAACGTCATTGTAAATGAAAGCCAGTGGGCAACCCTCTAAGGACCGAAGAGTCGCCAATGAGGCGCCACGGAGAAAGTGCTGATTCGGGGTGGAGAGCACGGCACTCACTTTACATAACATTTAACAAAATTATAATGAGGCGTGGAGCGGATGGTTATCGGCTGGGGGACTTCATTTTCTCCCTTGGCGAATGGTAATGGGATTATGCGAGGAACACATTTTGTTGTTTGTTTTAAAGATTCTATGAGATCGTGAACGCCTCCAATGTGGTTTATGTAATTACCCTCAGTGCGAGCCGTAAGTGAGTCATCCTCGCAAGACAAACGCATTAGGTGTCCATTAGGATGAATTCAATTACCGCTAAAAAAATTAAGCACAACAGAGGGAAACTATATAAGAAATACCCGGGTATATTCAATTATATAATTGCCGCTCAGTACACAAATAACTAATGCAGTTTCGCTCTGCTTGAGAGAAAAGATTTCTTTAGATGTACATAATTACTGGGCGCTCAAGTGTTGAATATAAAAAAGGGAAAATGCTGATCCTGGACTCTGAATTCAACTTGATTGAACAAATTTGATTTGAATCTCACACACACTCATCTTTCCTTCAGTAACAAGTTTCATTACAACCTAATTTTATGAGCCAATCCATTTGTTTGATTTTCGTTTTCCCAATTTTTGTATTTCCTATCTAATCGCATTGAGTGCGGAAAAGTTACTGGATACTCTTATCGCAACCCGCACACATCCAAGCCCACGCTTTCACACATTTTCTATTTTCATGTTCACCTTTCAGCTTACGGCAATAAAAATAAAGTTAAACAATAAGTGAGCAGCAAGTCAAGCGGGTTGTGCGGTGGTCAAAATGCGGGTCATTTCAATTCATTTGGATTACTCATGTACGTATGAAAAAGGGTTGGACTTTGAGGGGGAGGTGTGAAAATATTCACTTTAATTTATATTTAATTTAAAGGATATCTTTAATTTGCTGATTGTTATATGGCTTCGAAAAAGA